TTGGACGCAATCATGTTGTTACCCCACTATCCAAGACCGAAGGTCATGAAAAATGTGCAGCCTTCCAAGCCCAAGATGGCATGGTTTTTGATATGGCAGACTACGCTCAACAGACCGTAGATTTGTATAAATCAATAACTGGTGTCACCAAACTCAAGCATGCTGCCACGCCATTTCCACCTGAGGGATCCATCACCATTGAAGATGATGAAACTAAAGGGGAACTAGCTCCAAATGCATGTAAGATTTTGATGAAAGCCCTTTGGTTAGGTAGACTTGCACGTCCCGACATCATCAAGCCTATCAATGATCTGGCCACAAAGGTCCAGTCGTGGTCCAGGGGGGATGATAAGAAGGTCCTAAGATTAATCCAGTACATAGCCTCAACACCACACTACAGGTTAGTAGGTACCATTCAGGACAAGCCTGAAGACCTAGAGCTCAGATTGTTTGTCGATGCCGACTTCGCCGGCGACAGATCAACTGCACGCTCAACCTCTGGTGGCTTTTTGGTTTTAACTGGCCCTAGTTCCTTCTTCCCACTTGCATGGATTAGCAAGCGCCAAACATCCACTTCTAGATCGACCACGGAAAGCGAGGTTGTTAGTTTAGCCCATTCGCTTTATCAAGAAGGCTTGCCTGCCTTACAGTTATGGGAGCTGTTGCTTGCACGCTCCGTAACCCTTAAGGTCCACGAAGATAACCAAGCAACAATCCTAGTTGTGAAGAAAGGGTATAGTCCCAAGCTTCGCCATATAACTAGAACACACAAAGTTAATTTGTCTTGCCTGTCTGAAGTCTTCAGAGATGACTCTGCCGAGATAGAGTACACCCACACCGATGATCAGGCGGCAGACATTTTCACCAAGGCATTGCCTCCACACAAATGGGCAGCAGCACTAATCCTTCTAGGAATCCGTACTGACCTTCCCTTAGACCTTAAATCCAAAGCCTAGGTCGCTGTGGACGTCCGTTCACGCGACAGTAGCTGCTTAGGATACTGCCAATGCGCAGTGCGTGTGGAACAGGCGAGGGGGGAGTTGAAATATACCGACCCCTGAGCCCCACTATGTATAGCATAGGTAGTAGGTCCAGTGTAGGTAGTTATGCCCTAGCTATGAGTCCAATACACTCCTAGTAGATATCCCCGATATGTACAGCTAATGCCATCTACTTAGAAGCGTTAAGTAGATGTAGTAGTCATAGGTAGAGGTAGGTACTTTCCCCTAACCCTAACAACAACCAGGGTCAGGGGGTGACTAGGTACGCTGCCGACCCGGTGGCTCAAGCGCACAAAAGAGCGTGTGCTTGGTTGGTTTTGTTTATGTTGAAGGGTTGTGGTAGGAACACACTTGGTTCGACCCCCCTTTTGTCTTATATACATAATACATATATATATATACATAATACATATATATATATATACTGGCAGGACAAAAGTTGCGCTTGCTGAGCTTCCCGCAGTGAACATGTTTGGTTTCTTCTTCTGCAGACCCTTTTCCCCTCAGAATCCTAGCATGGAGCTGTGTCGTACCCCGGTCGAATTATTGACCGTACCACACAAAATGGACTTGGAAATGTGATCCGCGGTTGACCAAGATGGATGCTTTGTCAAGCTTTCAAGAAGCATAAACTGTGTTCCTCCTGAAGTATAAATAATACATATATATATATATATAATACATATACATATATACATATACATATATATATATATATATATACATATACGTATCAACATATATGAGTCTATGATGGATACTAATTTTCTGCATCATATATATATATACATACACGCATATATCACATTAAATTTCATATATCGATCCCCATTGTGACGTGCCCAGCAAGATTGGAACTAGGCATAATCCCAAAGAAAGATGGCCTGCAGGTGCCCCGCTGGGTTCGCTGGCGAAATGAAGGGGTTGAAAAACTTCACAAAATGGAGATACAACGGGATGATACCATCATTACTGGGGGGTAATCAGTTTTTTTTTAATGGTGATTGAATGATGTTCAATGGGATTTAATGGTGAATTTAATGGTGATTTAATGGTGGGTTTAATGGTGGTTTTTTCATGGGATTTTTTTTGTTCGGAAGTCTCATGGGTCCGGTGATTTGGTTTTCTGGATTTTCCAGCAAGCCATGGTGGCTTCATGTGATTTGGTGGCTAAATGGTGGCTAAATGGTAGATATATAGCTGGTTGGTGGTGACTGGAACCATGGAATTTGCCATGACTTTCCCATCATAGTGGGAATGGAATAATCATCCCAACTGACGAACTCCATCATTTTTCCGGGGGGTAGGTACACCACCAATTCGTCATATGGTTGGAACATGTTGGCACTGTTCAATGGTGGTTTTTTTTAAGGGATTTTTCACGAACATGGGGAGTTGGCCATGAACATGGGCATTGGGTGGGTCTGGGGGTATAATTGCCCAGTGGCCGTTAGCTGATTATATCATTGAAATGATCATTGACCAATGGATAAAAGGATGTCCTCTTTTCAGACAAACGCAAATCTCAGATGGAACACGCTAGGAGGGTTCAGTTGGTTTTTTCCCCCAAGAAAAAACTTGAAGATGAACATTGTTTAGGGAAAACAAGATGATATGCAGTGATATGCAGAAGATGGATTTTGGAAGATGGAGAAAGCCTATGACTTGGATGAAACCAGTGGCTTGACAAAACTGATGACCCTAGATCTACTGAGACCTAGACCCTCCAAGAAACCCTAGAAAGATGGGGTAATATACCCATTCCTTGACTTTTCAACGATTTTTTATGGGTACCTGCAGGGTCAGGCATAGAGTTTCCTATGATGATTTCTTGGTGTTTGGTTTCTGAGAATCTTGAATCATTGCAACTATATGTCAACGGTACCCCAACATCCAGTTGTGAATCCTTGTTTCCCCAAGAGCACAGTTTTTGCTTTAACGATATCTGAAATGTTCAAAACGGTTTATAAGTATAATAGATTCAATTCAATAGATTCTTCTTGTAAGCTGAGTACCAGTGAAAGGGATCATATTTAATCTTGTGATCCTGCAGAAAACCACGAAAACAAGTCTACCGCGAATATAACAAGAGTTTAGGAAAACAAATCTCATGTAATCCGTGGTCTTCTCCGATGTCATTGAAACCACCAACCATTTCTTGCTGGCAGCTACTCGTAGCTGGGTTTACGAACCCAAGTCATCATGGGTATGATAGACCCCATTTTTCTAGATACCGATGGTCTAGGTATGTCTAGCTATGTAGCATAACAACCCTCAGAAAGATGCGGAACAGAGAGGACACCTGGAAAATCATGAAGAAAACATCATCCACAAACCACCCTGGAAACACTTGTGGGTTTCTTTTGGAGGTTGCTATATATATATATATACGTACATAAACATAACTTATATATATATATACATATAACTTATATATATATAGATATCAATCAATATCAATGAATCAATCAATGTATATCATTCATTTCTATCGCAATTTGTCGTCCCCGGTTGTTTCTTTTACCAGCCACCAGTTGTGGGCAGGACAGGTTCCCAGCAATGTTGAGCTGAAGGCACAGGGGCCCAGTTTTGATCCCTGAAGCTGCGCAAAAAGTTGGGACTTTGCCAGCAAAAACCTCTATTTTCATGGGGCTTCAATGGTGATGAAAAATGGTGATTCAATGGTGATTTAGTGGGGCTTAATGGTGATTCAATGCTGATTTCATCGGATTTCATGCTGATTTATGAGTTCAGCCATGGGTTTTTCAGCCAGTTTAATTCCAATGGGATTCGTTGGCCAACATTGGCTACTCCAACTGGGTATCCCAGCCCACCGAGAGGCCAGGTTTGTGGGGAAACTTGTCAGGTCATCTTTCAGGCTAAACGATATGACTATCATTTATCCATACAATGTGAGGCCTCCCAATGATGTTTGTTGGTTTAGATTCGCCCCAGAAACTATAGTTATAAGATGTTATAAGTACCATAAACCATAGTTATTGGAGTTATGTTCACCAACTGAACGCTATCGAACGGGGGCCTCACATTGTATCATTTATCCATAGTTATCCCATGTTTTTCTGTGTCACCCTATGGCAATGGTTTGGAGGAGCTGTTATGAGCTTGGGGTATCAGCTGTTTCCCAGACAAATACATGGGGAGCCAGAGGGCCGACTAAGAGTAACACGACCACATGATAGCTTGGGTATGCTTGGGGTGTTTATTTTTGGGAGCCAGTTTTTAGAAACAAATTACATCACGTTTTTCGGTAACTCATCGATTGTTAATCAACCGGAGGTTATTCATCAGGGCTTGACGTGATTACATAACCTTCAAGACTCAAACAAAATGGGCCTATCCGGATTTATGATGACTTATTGATTTATTGCACATTTTTCTTCTGGAGGGAAAGGTGATGACCATTGAATTTTGGAGCCAGTAACCAGTAATGGCTCCCGGAGCTTGACCCACGATTTTGGAGCGTTGATGAAGCCCTTATGGGCAGGACCGACTCGTGTAGTTTCGCTGCGTTCCATTTTGGCACATCTTCATTATCTTGAGGGTGTTACCATGTCTATACTATGTCTTGAAGCTTGGAATTTTGCTCAGCTGAAATATTGCCAACAAGAATGAAGCATCAGAACAGCATTGGTAGAGACGTAACAAGTTGAATTACATACAGTGCCAGACGATTTAATGTGCTTGTAAACTGATGATGAACTGTACCTAGCTGAGTGGTGTACTCACTCCTCCCATACCTGGAGTGATGATCCCGACGTTGAAGATTGGGGCTGGTTAAAAGAACACATAAAGCAGCAAGCAGTTTTCACGCATGAGATAGATGGACTTATGCTTGAAAAAAACTATCACTCCACCCCATCTATACCCAATTCTTCCATGATTTGTCTATGATACTTCCTTAATCATGCACCATGTGGAAACACCATTTACACCTCACCGTTGAAGGCACTGAGAGTCTCTGTGTTTTTTTGATGCCCCATGGCGTTGATACCTACGGAGATTCGCGAGAAGTTCAAGGGTTCCTTGGATGTTTCAGGATCTTTTAGGCTGGTTGTATTGTTCATTATTAATTATTATGTTTTAATTAGCTGCCAAAATTATATGCAATTATATGGTTGTTTGGTTGTACACCCTTATCTTTGTTTGTTAAATCCCAGATATCAACTTTCGGGTGACATCCCCTTCTGTGCCATAGTCAAAACTGGTGCCTATATGTGCCCATATAGGGGGATGATCATCAATCCATTTTCATCGGGCTTTATATCTATATAATATGTATATATATATATAGTATATATACGTATATATACTACATATGTATACATATATATATATATATATACACATAGGTCTAGAGTCTAGACCTAAACAAACCAGGTAGCGGAAGTATGGGGTATATACATACCCACGACTATAAGGCATCCCTGAAATAAGTGTGGGATGACCATTAACCATTGGTAACCATTGATCCCGCGTAACTTGGCCGTGACACATCTCACATCATCTATCCCTTAGATAATTTAAATTGTTGATGTGAGATATTCCTGACGTCATCTATCATCTATCCCTGAGGTCGTTTTCACATTATCTGGATAATTTAAATTACCATCTGTTTATTTAACATAGCCATGGAACATCATCATGTTTAATAGGTAAAACATCTATAAATGGGCCATCTATACCAGGGCAAACTGTTAGTCATAACCAGAGGGTAGTTGAAAACGACGAAAACGACCTCAGCGCTTTTTCTCACTACGATGGTTTTCCAGAAGTGTGACCTCTAACTTCAGCATTCCAGGGTGAGGCCCAGTTACAAGTTGGTTTACAACCTCATGAAAACTATAGTTATCCCATGTTATCCCCCATAAACTGCCATAATCTATGCTTTTTTTGGGGATAACTATAGTTAATGGGCGAATCTAAACCAACTTATAACTTGGTTAACCAAATTATGTGCATCAACTTAATTTAACTTAATCATCTTCCCAAGCACAGTTGGTTGAAACAAAAACGCACGACTCAGGTCTGGAAACCAAATACTTCGAGAAGGATGGGATCATTCCGGCGATTTCTGGCGGGGTGGTAGAAAAGTACTGAGTCCTAATGGCCTCCAGTAAATTCACATAGAGCCTGCCAATTGTAGTGGGTTGAAAGAGTAGTTGCCACTAAAAAATGCCTATGTTCAGGATCAAACTGTTACAAACTACTAATTCAATTGGAAGGTAAGTGGTAAAGATTGTCCTTATATGAGCCATGGTGAAGTCAAAAATGGTTGGATTGTATAGACATTCCTTGGGAGATGGTTTTCAATCCATGTGCAGAGTCTTTTTTTCTGCCGGGATGGATGGCCACAATTATATAAACCACTTATACCGTTATAATCCGTTAAACAACCCATGTTTTGACCATACCACATATTCAACCACATATAACTGGAGATATTCCATGGCTGTGAGGCATCATATGATTATTATCCACTTATCTCCCCAAAATTGGATGCATGGTTTCATGAGAGTAGCAATGAATCATAATGAATCCCCCAGATTGGACGGTTTCATCGGTGGAAATGACGATGTTTTCGGCTGGTCCATATACCCCCTTTTTTTCAGAGGGTCTAGGAATCTTAAGGTGTGAATCGTCCCCATGTGTTGGGGGTTGGTGGCAATCCAGTCGTGACTTTATAGTGGGAAGAGAATCAAACACATTCGAATCACCAGAAAAGCTTGGATGCGCATCCATGGTGTAAGATGGGTTAACAACAGAACAAGAAACGCTCCGCTTATATAACCCTTACAACGTGGTGCCGCCCACTGCTGCAAGTTGGTTTATGTTCACCCTTCCAACAGAGATATATCCACAACCAGCATTTGCCAACCGAGTTCCCGAAACCAACTGAGCTGTGCATCCTCCATTGTGTTTGGGATTCTTTTACCTAGCAGATAATTTGAGCAACAATTGTGGGTAGACTCGCAAGAATCAGGGAATCAACTTATAGATAACCTCAGTATCATCACCCGGTCTCTTGATTGAAGCTATACATTTTAGTCAGTTTCGGTTTACGCCAGCACCAACGGTCGGAAATATTCACGCTGTGCCGCCGTTCATACGGTCATTTAAGCCCTGTCGGGGTACCAATGAACCCACCTTAAATTGCGCTAACAAAAATCTTGGGGTAGCCTCCTTCTGGTGTCATGAAAAAAACATGGCTGGGAAAATCCCCGAAAAAAAAAAAGGTGGTGTTTTTATTGGGAATCACATCACACTATCCATGGTGCCGGAATATTTACCTACAAAACTGGGTCATTTTTGGGGTAAATGTAGGTAAATATTCCAGCACCATGGAGCATCTGGGTATAGCAATGGGAAGCCTCTTGGATAAATGGAAGTTTGAATGGGACTATCGTCTGTAAACGGTCAATCTTTGGGTCACAAAACAATTCTAAGTCAGTAGACCAAACTATAGTACTGTATATTGAAACCGTTTTGGTGACGACTGGGGTACCCCCATGACTTCGGAAAACCCCAAAAGTTACAGTATAATACTCATAATCATGAATAATCCAACTACTATAAAGTACTATAGACTAGTGTACTATTGTATAATTAAGTAAATCCCATGACACTACACTCCTGTAGTACTAAGCTGGTTGGTGGTTTCAAACATTTTTTTATTTTCCATAATATATGGGTATAATATGGTATAATCATCCCAACTGACTTTCATATTTTTCAGAGGGGTTCAAACCACCAACCAGTACCCTCCGGTAAATTAACCCTGAAATTGCATAGTTTTAATGGAAACTAATCTTCCAACCTCTATCTGCCAGGGTCTATGTCGCCAGGACGCAGTCCTCCAATTCTTCTCCCGTCTGGGCAGCTCCGCGGACGTCCTGCGGCAGCTTGACGCCCTGCTGCAAGTCGGCGTGGTCGGCGTCGGCGTTGGAGCAGATGGACAGGCGCGCTTAACGATGGCTGGAGATATATGGATTTTACGGGATTTAATAGGATTTAATAGGGTTTAATAGGATTTAATATGGGATTTAATCATGATTTAATAGGATTTGATATGGGATCTAATAGGATTTTATGAGTTTATGGGAATATCATGGGAGATACCCTCTGGTAAACATACAAAAACGATGGAAAAATAGTATTTTGATAATATAGATCATTTGTTAATGGTCCATTTTCCATAGCTATGTTGGTTTTCCATCCCCAAAATCACCATAGATGGGTGGTAGATATTATCCCCAGTAGGTTCATTGTTGGGTCTACCATATTAATATGGTTTGAATGGGAAATAAATGAAGGTTCTACATCGTGATGTAGCATGTTATATACTATTATACTATACTATAGTTCAATGGATTGGTTTAAGGGAAAATCTTAACAGGAAACCCATGGGTTTTTTACCATCAAAAAAAAAGGGGGTTCGGTTCCAATTTTCCCATCATCCAATTCTATGAAACGTAGCTGGGAAAATCCTCAAAGCAAAACGAAAAATGGTGGATTTTCCAGCCACCGATGTTGCTACTGTGCTGATAGATGTTGATGTATGTTACCCTCCAGTAAATAAACATAGACCCTGCTAGGAATTGGAAGATTAGTTTCCATTAACAATTGGTGATTTTCAGGGTCTATGTTAATTTACCAGAGGGTAATTATCGATAAAATCATGAATGAACATGACTTGACTGAACTATAGCTTTAAGCTCTTTGGCTTTTTTCTGCGAACATATACCACATGAAAACGAAGCGTGATTTACATTCATTCTCAGTGAATTTGTTCCTAGGAATCCATTGGTCCATTGATTTTGTCGGATTTCCAGGTCTGCCTACGGGACTTCCTTGAGTTTCTCTACGTCCAGCATGACCAGCTTTCCAACTCCGAAGCGCCGGAAGCGCCGCTGCCCTGCGGCCTATTCGCGGGGACCAACGAGTACGTCCTGGTGAAAGCAGATGGAGAAATTCTCAAGTTCAAGCTGGCAGGACTTAAATGGCTCAAATAAATTTCAAATAAATGTTCATGTCAAAATTTAAAGGATATGAATCTGCTGGGATCTAGACACAACTGTGAAGGAAAACCGCAAAAGATCTACAGAATTTAGTTTGGGATGGTTGGAGAGTCCATCAATTTGAGTTTCATCAGCTAGCCATTTCTTAGAATTCTTCAATGATCTTTTATGAATCTGATGGAATTTATGGGCACTGGCAGCAACTGCCCTTTTTAGGAGAGTGTCAAGAAATTACCAAACGTCCTGTGTCTTCGTGGCAAAAGATCAAGAAAGACTTCTGGGAAGTTTCTAGACTCGAGACCTTTGACGAACAGCACGGTGTCTTTCGAATCGATGCTGCTGAAGTGCAGTTGCGCGAAGAAGATGTGCCCAAGTTAGTCTCTCAGAAGCCATGGGTCGGTGGGTTGGACGCTTGCGTCATTAATTGATATTCGAAATGAACTCATTAGGACAGGATGTTGGGATGTGGATAAGTAAATTTCATGACACATTCTTCGGACTAAATGAAGACCGCTATAGCAGCTGCTGGGAAGATGCTGAGCCGCTTCCCACCTCGTGGTGGTTTTCGATGGGGACTCCTTAAGAGATGATCAGTCCACTCCATGGACTGTCGATTCCCGGGACAAAAAAACATGGGAGAACATACCAAGGGCTGAACATCCGAGAATACCAAGGGATAAACCACTTATATCCACTTATAAGGGATATACATGAATATACCATATATGTTTTTCCAAAGTGCTTCAGGCTGCCTGGATCTTAAAACTGGTGGAAAATCCGTGAAGCGAAAGGTCGGTGAGATCTGCGGCTGAGGTTGGACATGAGGTGCATGCGCAGCTAACCAAGCCACAGGGATTTTCCAGCGCGCTGCTTGGGACCTTCACGGAGTCTGGGTGAAGGTCGTGGTGATTTTTTTTTTATTTCAAATCCATGAAGTGGTGGAGTAAAGTTAGCAAAACCCACGACATGGTCAATTTTTTTTGGAATTATCTAGTATTATTCATAGAGATGTATTCAGACTTATATTTTAAAGATTAATGAGTATATAATTATATAATATGATATACTGATGGATAATCATCCCAGTCATCACTGTCATGCTGGGACTTTCACCACTAACTGATGTGATATAATATGAATTAACTTGATAGAGGTCTTCAGACTCTGATCCCAAATCATCCCAAATCATCCCAGATCTAGGGCAGCCGCTAGACGTGGGTTGCGCTAGGATTGCTTTGTGAATCAGGGGGACAAGGCTCGCTTCAGACTTTCCATCAGCAAAGATGCTGGAGTCTATGTGGAGTACGATGGAAAGTCGAAGGAATCCGGGCAGCATCTCGGTTTTCAAGATTTTTGCACAGTTTTTTTGTAGGTTTACTACAGTATTTGATTTATATTATACTATATTAATTTGATTATATAGAGGTGTTTAATATACGGTTGTATCTAGGTTTTGTATAGGTTTTATAAAAGGTGTTATAAAGGCTTTATAAAGGTGTTACAAAGGTTCAATGCTTCATATGATGTTCCAATGTTTTTGTTTTCCCTTATCAAGTGTAACTTTGAACAATGCCTATGCAAAACGCAGACATCGCCGGGACAGTTGGACGACCCCCCCAGCCACATTTCGACGAATCAAAGACGAAACGTTTCAAATGCGGTAGTCTTTCTTGTGTCTACATGTTTCAGTGTGTGTTTTTCATGACTAAACTATACTAAACTCCATGTTTTTGAACCTGAACTAAACTATACTAAGCTCAAATCGTACCACATCCACTTGTTTACCAGTTACAACCCATCTAACATCATCGATGTAGCTCAGCCGTATCTCCCCCAATTTTATTGGAATGTCTCCCATGCATTTAATTTTTTCTGGAATGATATGTAGATCCATTGCACTTAGTAAGTGGGTTATAACCCCAATTATAAGTGGATTAACCCTATATATACTTATACCATTTATAACTGGGGTGAACTAACCCACTTACGAGCCGTGGGTAGTTCGCCACCAAGTTCTCATTTCGTATCTTGAGGGGATCCAGGCTGTCGCCAGGTATAACTTGCTGGACGCATTTCGTTCCCAGCTGGCCGAAGTGAAACGACCCACGGGAATCCTTTGGACGCTGCGACTGGGAAGCGATGGCAACTACCAGCTGCTGCCACCGCCTTTGAAGGTGGCAACGGGTGGGGAGAATGGCAGTTTTTTGGAGGTACCCTCTGGTAAACTAACATAGCTATGGAAAATCACGATTTTTTATAAGTAAATTAACTATAAATCACCATGTTCAACAGCTATGTTAGTTTACCAGAGGGTAAATGGACTGAACAAGAGTTGGATAGATTGACATGTTCATCAGCTTTTCTATGGTTGATAAGATGGAATCCACGCTCTAACAGGCTGTGCACTCATTCATATTCCCCCTGGTTTGTTAGATCTCGATAGTTCTAGTGGTTAGTAGGCTCCCTAGATACTAGTAGGTAAGTTACTTTGTAACCCCATCGAAGTACAGATATTTCTCCGTCATAACCCCCAGGATGACTTGTTGCAACTCAACCCAACCTACTTATCAAAAAAAACTGTGCGTAGCTTCTGTGGTGTTCAAGTGACTTGACGGAAATACGTCAAAAGGCTGAGCAGCCAAAGATTTGGATATACAATATCTAAAACAGATCTTAACTGGTTGGTGGTTTGGAACATGAATTTGATTTTTCCATTCAGTTGGGAATAATCATCCCAACTGACGAACTCATATTTTTTCAGAGGGGTAGGTACACCACCAACCAGCTAAAATCGACCCTTTGACCAACATGGAATCCAGATGAAACTCTGTCATCGAACTAATTGGAAACTCTGCAGGAATTCTAGATTTTTGATTGGCATTAAAGAAAATACATGGTTTCCGGTTAAGATGTTCCCTTAAAGCAATCCAGTATGATGGTGAATGTATCGGGGAAAAAACACCCCAAATGGCCGCACTTTATTTTTAACAATTATATATGAATGATCATATGAATCAGCCTTCAAACAACATATATTTGGATGGTAAATTGATGCCATCAAAAACATGTCGAGATTTCCATTCTCAGGTGATCACCTTAACAACCGGCCAAAGCTTCGATTTGTCCCACTGCGTCCACAGCGAGCCCGCAGCGGTGCTGCTGGGGCCACGCATTGGACTCAATGGCAACGTCCTGGAAGGAGAGGGGGAATGCATCGTGGCTGGGCGCGGCAGATTGGGTGTCACTTCACCAAGCGGTGCCCCCGGGTTCACGTGCAGTTCCAGTTTATAAGTGGATATGAAACCATGGATGTTGGGAAGTATAGGGCTTATATCCCAACTTGTGGCGGTTTATAACCAAGGTGGCAGCCATAACATCAACTGCACCTAGGGCTGCGTCATACAAAAAGATGTGGAAAGCCCGTGGGAAAACTCTCGAAACATGAGCTACATATAGTCCATTTTCATGGATGTTCCACATTTGTATGAAAATTTACTGGAGGGTAACTGGATTCTATTTGGCACTTGTAGGAGCGTTCACTCTACTGATTTCTATGGATACTCGATTATAGTGAACTCACCCCGCCCGATCCAAAATCTTGCGTTTAGTTGGGGGGGACTTCCCGGGAAAGTCGCCCCAACATGCGTTTACTTGCTGTGGAGCAGTTGCGTAAGATAGAAAACGATGTAAATATTGCTTCATTTAGCTTGTGTTTACACTGATGAACTTGTTTTTTTTGTCATGCCTTGCTCATTCATGTGACCTTTTCCTGGCAGTTGGGGGGCGTAGTTCCATGTGGGTTGGGGGACCTTCGCCGGCATTGAGTATCCATTGGTATCGTAATTGTGCATTGGATTTGTTCCCGTTGGTAGATATATAGCTGGTTGGTGGTTTGGAACATGAATTTTATTTTTCCCATCATATTGGGAATGTCATCATCCCAACTGACGAAGTCATATTTTTCAGAGGGGTAGGTACACCACCAACCAGATAGTTTATCCCATCATAGTCCCATTATTTGCAGTGGTTCATAGGAATCCCACTAGTTCGCAAGGGGTGAATCCATTGGCTCATCATGTTCCCTATTGTTTTTGAATAGCCATAGCTGGGGTATAGCCCATTTTCAGACACCGCCACTACCCTCTGGTAAACATGGCCATAGCTACTGAAAATGGTGATTTATAGTTAGTTTACCTATTAAAAATGATGATTTTCCAGTTCGTTATGTGGCTGTTTACCAGAGGGTACATCAAAGTGCCAGAGCTGTGCCTAGGTCTCCTTTCCCGGGAAATACGCCGATTGCTGGCGCCTTTGTGTGGAAAGATCGCTCCATCGGACCAGTGTGGCCTGTGTCACGAGTCGCCGACTGAGGAGGGAAGCAACGGATGTATGGTTCGAAAGCCTATAGGAGTGGGGATTAAGAGTCATTGAGTGGGGTTTCCATAAATGGGGTACCCCATAAATAGATGGTTTATAATGGAAAATCGGATTAAATGGATGATTTGGAGGTACCCCCATTTCAGGAAACCTCCATTTAGTGGGTACAATAAACTAGACGCTTGATGGCTTGGGCACAGTATGGCACAATGGATTGGTTAATAAACTGGGGTTCGATAGTGTTTGTGGATTCTAGCATGGTTTTGACCATTTCAATGGAGGAAGATTACATCATGTCACTAGCCTGCTGCTTCTGTGGCAACTTAGGTTAGTTTACATCAGCCTCGTTTTCACCCTGCATTGATTTTTGTTGGGGTCTCCCAAATCAGAGCAACTGATATATTGGTGAACAAGGAATTTCCTATATTAATACACACTAAAGATTCATACAGACCTGTGAATCTGGGGTTAGCATACGGCATATTTCGCATTACCCAGCACCATTTTTTTGACTGCCAATGTGTCGTCACGGCCCAAAAAGCTGGAAAGAGAAAAAGGTGCAGATCCAAAGATACAGTCGATATCAACGGATGTGGCGATTGATCAAGACCTCTAAATACATGTGTTGTTAAGGGATATACTTCCATTTGCTAGCTATTCTGATGTGAACTACAGGTGGGGGCCAGGGTTTTAGTCCGTACATCTGGGGTATTTGATCCTTGAGGATCCTCCTAATCCCCACATTTGTCTTGGTGATGTCATCTCCCTTTCCAAGCAGATCTAGGTTTTTCTTGGGGACGAACACGGCTGGGGCCAGCACGCGGAGAATCCGGAGGAGATTGGGAAGTGCTACTGCCACGCCTTGTATGGTGAAAGAGGGCACCAACAGTTTCTGCGAGTGATGTTTTTTGTGGGTCTGTCTGAAAATGGGCATACCACCAAAATTGCATTTCAATGGAGAAGATGATGATACCCTCTGGTAAACTAACATAGCTATTGAAAATGACCATTTATAGTGGATTTTCCCATTGAAAATGGTGATTTTCCATAGTTATGTTAGTTTACCAGAGGGTACCACCAAAATTGCATTTCAATGGAGAAGATGATGATAAATCAAAGTAAGGGTACCACATTGACAAAGCTGTGGTCTACTTATGCTGCCCGCTTGATGCGTGATTTCGGGGTCAGTTTGTCTAAAGGTCAGCCATTTCTGACCCAATGCCAAGGTAAGTAGATGGGGTTTCCGAAGTCATGGGGGTACCATCGGTACCCCAATGGCTGGATGTTTTTTTGAAGAGAAATCATATTAAAATTGGATGATTTGTGGGGTACCCCCATTTTAGGAAACCTCCAGATATGATACACCGATGACTTGAATTTTTGCTCCGGAACGGACAAAACAGATGATTTGAAATTCCAAATGATCCCCATTCAATTGTTTCCCTGGATTTTCGTGTAACATCTTCATATGATAATCAAATGATATCTTGTTGTTTAAGTCATTGCGTTAATCACATGGGTTCACAGCTGGTAACGACCATGGCCATGGCCTAACTTTTCCCCACCAGGTTTGGCTTCCGGAGCAACGCCGAGTATGAAGCGAAGCCTTGCGGAATGTCGGCACATGGGAGTATAGCCAACAATAGTACAAGGTGGTGTCCCATAGTTAGCAAAGTTGGTTTGTGATTCCAATGACTAGATATAATCAGGGTATACCAGGCTTTGTGATAGTATATATCTTTAAGTATGGCTGTAAGCCAAGAAACATAACTGGGGGGCACCACCTTCTAAGGATATTCAAAAGTCTCCAGCAAAGAGGTGTGGACTTGAACACTTGAACCTGAATCGGCAAGTGGCTGAAGCAGTTTCACTTGAAAATATGGTCAAATTATACCACCAAACAGATGCCGAAAGGTGTTTCTTGGATGGTATGACATTTACCCTCTGGTAAACTAACATAGCTATGGAAAATCACCATTTTCAATGGGTAAATCCACTATAAATGGCAATTTTCAATAGCTATGTTAAATTACCAGAGGGTCTCACTATGCATCACATAGTTCATCACATGTCCAGATTTCAACTGTTCTATCTATTTTTGGGTGGCTAACTGTGGCCAGCAACAAAGCGGGCCTTTTTTGTTCTTGAAGTCCACAGGGCCACGGGATGGCTGTTTGAGCTACTTGTGGATTTGAGACGCAGACTTTCTGATTGACTGCTATCACTCCATATCACTCCAACATTCCAGTGGTTTCTCTTCATGTGCAGTCATGGAGGTTTCCTAAGTCATGGGGGGACCCCCAAATTATCCAGTCATGAAACAGAGCATTTTTAGTATTGAAACAGCGGGATGTCTTGGGATCACATCGAATCCGTGCCCATCCTCAAGCTCCCCGTAATCCAATGGTTGGTTCTTACAATCATATTCTCCATGGAAATTTGTAGGGGATTTCCAAGGGAACCCCATGGATTTGCCACAAAGCTCTATGTTACTTTGGAAACTATCAACTAACCCACGATGACTCAGCATGTTTTCTCTGGGAACACCACCTCAACCGGGCCCTCAACCCACCAACCCATGGAAGGAACGGGCGTCGCCCACTCTGGGGCTGCCTTTGGTTCAAGCGTTGGCGCGACAATGTGGAGCTTGCTGTCAGTCGGAGACAACGCCTGGTGGCCTATTTCTTCGAAGGACAAGTGGGCCACCTCGGCGACAAGGGGGAAGCCGATCATCGGAATCCACGGCCTGGGGACATGGGGAATACGACTGTGACCTCCCTGTTGAATGCGACTGTGACCTCCTCAATGTTTGGGTGGAAAAAAACAAAACATCACTTCACCAGCAACCACGATTTGGACGATTATTTGCACGAATCTTGGGGTTGGTGCAGCACTAAAATCAGAAAAACACTTGGATGTTCTGCTTCATGGGTGAGGTCCTCAAATTACTTTACTTCGTGTGATCCCCACCATGACATTTATCGATTTGTTACTGGCAAATCTCCTGGCATTCTATCTGACATATCTTCTGGCATTCGATCTGGCATACCTTTTGGCATTCTACCTGGCATATCTTCTGGCATATCTTCTGCCATCCTATCTGGCAAATCTTCTGGCATTCTATCTGGCAAACATTCTGGCATACCTTCTGGCATTCTATCTGATATTCTATCTGGCATACCTTCTGGCATTCTATCTGGCATATTTTCTGGCATATGTTCTGGCATATCTTCTGGCATTCTATCTGGCATTCTATCTGGCATATCTTCTGGCATATCTTCTGACATCCTATCTGGCATTCTATCTGGCAAATGTTCTGGCATTCTATCTGGCAAACATTCTGGCACTTTATCTGGCATACCATCTGGCATATCTTCTGGCATACCTTCAGGCATTCTATCTGGCATATCTCATGGCATTTTATCTGGCATATCTTCTGGCATTCTATCTGACATTCCACCTGGCATATCTTCTGGCATTCTATCTGGCCGTTGAGGTCCAGCGGTGCACATTCTTTCTAACTTTCTTCTGCACATTCTTTGTCCCATATCTTCCTACATGAGGTCCGGCAGGGAACACTTGGCGTGGATACTCGCGGTTGAGGTCCGGCAGGGAACACTGGGCGTGGATGGTCGTGGTTGAGGTCCGGCAGGGAACACTGGGCGGGGATACTCGCGGTTGAGGTCCGGCAGGGAACACTGGGCGTGGATGGTCGTGGTGAGGTCCGGCAGGGCTGGCGGGGATGGTCGTGGTTGAGGTCCGGCAGGGAACACTGGGCGTGGATGGTCGTGGTTGAGGTCCGACAGAGAACACTGTGCGTCGAGGGTCGCGGTTGAGCAGGAGGAGGAGGAGAGGAGAGGAGGAGAGGAGAGGAGGAGAGGAGCAGGCAACTGACATAAAATCTAACAACCCTCACCTGGCAGGTGGGGAAAAAGTCAACAGAAAGTGATGGTGGGGTCTCAATTTTTTTGAAGCATGTCCATTGCATCGGCAATTTGCAATCAACTTGGTCGACTTTCGCCCAGTAACTTGAGCTTTTCATTGGGTGCTGGCCGCAGTTTACCAAGCATCAGCAGGTTGCGGCAGTTGATTTCCGGCGGGAACCGAATCTGAGGTGAAGGATTGATTACTTGGCCGGAGCTCTGCAAGAAGGAAACGAATCTCTGGGACGGCAAGGGCTTGGGAGCTTCGCAAAAAGCTGAGCTGCTTGGTCGGAAAATTTTCATCATGGGTGCAAGACGGATGAGATGACAAAGATATGCAAAAATCAGATGAGTGATGATGGTAGATGAACGGATACAGTACCCATAGGATCCATGGTGCTGGTATATATGCTAACATGACTGGGGATGACTGGGGTATATTGATGGTAAATGTTATGCCATATATAGCATACATGGATCCTATGGGGCATAATTCATCATGGTTTACCGCCCATTGAAATGGCCATTTTTGCTTGGTATGGTACCCATTGTCCGAGCCCCGGAGAGTGTATCGGATGATGTTGGATTTCTTTTGTTGTGGCATGGAAAAATCACGATTCATTAGTCGTGATTATTAGAATATGTAGGTACCTGGTAGATAGATACATATTATGTCTAGGCCCTGTAAAATTTCCAAGTCATGACGAGTATATGACCATTTTTCGAGGTACTTGGAGAGTCTAGGTATATAAATGAAGCAAATCCCTGAAGTGGGCCAAACTTGAAGTTCGCAATCGGGACATCACCTGAAAATTCAGAAATCTATAGAGACATACAGCCTACTGCTGATCAACATAGATGCGGGAAATGCACCATTTATATTCCATTTATAATTTACACATGATTTCCATTGGAAGCCACTTGTTTCAGCAATCCACCTAGCAGCTACTCACCAGGCTGGCTTTCTTGCAGAAGATGGGCTATGACTTTGAGCAGCGAGACGTCAGGAGCACTTTTTTGGCGAGGTCGGAGTGACTCAAGTCAAGTCCCAGCTGTCTCAGCTGTCTCGTTTTTATGGGTTTAAACTATAGTTTAAACCATCTCAGCCATGGATTGGGATGGTTTAAAAATCCATCTCTCCACAATTTTGATGAACAAACAAAAACATATACAGTTCATAAATGTTGGAGGTAGTACGCACGCTTGAGAAACCCTGATCTTCAAACCTCCCGACACTGGCAGCTCCCCGGACGAGGGTCGCCACGGTCGCCTGTCCCATGGAAGTGGGGTGCTGGTGCCAAAGTGGGATGGAGGAAATTTGGATCCAATCATATCAATCACATCTAATCATAATCATAGAGTCCTACAAGAACAGGTTCTGAGGCGTGAATAGCTGGTGTTTGACAGGCGTTCCTCCATCCTGGGTGTATTGTTTGAAAAGACCATCCAGTCCATGCAAAGCATGCTGGGACATAGCTACTGGTTGGTGCTTTCAGAAATATTGCATCCCAATCTCACTCCCTAATATTGACTACCATAAATAACTGGTTGGTGGTGTTGGAACATGTTTTTTTCCATATATTGGGAATAATAACACCAACTGACTTTCATATTTTTCAGAGGGGTAGGTACACCACCAACCATAAATAAATTGGACCCCAAAATGCTATGATCCAATACATTTTACCAGGCTTTGTAGATGTAAAATAGTGTTTCAATGTCCTGTTCAGTGGAAGGGAGTCGTTTGAAAACAGGCTAAGCCACAGCACCGATGGCCGAGGGCGCTTGAAACATTTGGGAAGCACCAGCCAGATTAGATGTATATCGCCAAGGCTGAACACCCGTTCATTGCCGCACTGCCCATGTTTTTCACATGAGAAAAGGAGTGGGTGGGGTCACTTAGCTTTGTGAACATCCTATTCCTTGCACAAACTTTCTGTATGAAGCCTCGCAGGCAAACATATCTTGCTCACCGACATACTTCTTCAGATTCGACCAAACACTACCAAGGTCTAAGATGGTTTAAGCTTCCATGAGTTTCGGGAAATTTATATATCTGTTCCTTGTTTTTCCTTGGGAAAATTCACATCAAAATGGTGAATTTGGAATGGCCGCTTGGTGGTCAGTTTATGTCAGTTTGACGTGTTAAGATATCATGGCTCCACCTATCAGGGGCTCACGTTTTCAGGAGTGGCTGATTGGTTGAAGCGACGGAGGGAAATTATAGATAATTACCGTCAGAAGCGGGAACATATAGCAATGTTATCTCTTTATGACTCTGCTGTGTCCCCTAAGTGGGGGTATCCCTTGTACAGTTTTTTTCTACACTTATCTGGCTGGTGGTTTGGAACATGATTTTTATTTTTCACATCATATTGGGAATATATAATCATCCCATCTGACTTTCATATTTTTCAGAGGGGTTGAAATCACCACCAGCCATAAATAAATTGGACCCCAAAATGCTGGTTGATATCATAGATCCAATACATTTTACCAGGCTTTGTAGATGTAAAATTGTGTTTCTATGTCCTGTTCAGTGGAAGGGAGTCGTTTGAAAACAGGCTAAGCCACAGCACAGATGGCCGAGGGCGCTTGAAACATTTGGGAAGCACCAGCCAGATTAGATGTATATCGCCAAGGCTGAACACCCGTTCATTGCCGCACTGCCCAATACATTTTACCAGGCTAAGCCACTTATGGTTACCTAACGATTTACTAAGTGGTCTGATCCACCCTTCCAGCTCCCAGGTCACAAGCTGCCGCTTGTCGGAGATCCTGGGAGAGATCGAAGGTGTGCGCCGTTCGTTACGCCGTAAAGAGATGGTCGTGATAGATGCTGGTTGGTGGTTCGGAACATGACTTTTATGTTTCCATATATGGCAGTGTGTCAAAACCTTGTACCCCTGGTGAACATCAAAATAGCTGGTAAATGGATGTTCATCCCACTAAAAATGGTATTAATAGGTATTGATCCATAGCCATATTTGGAATAATCATCCCAACTGACTTTCATATTTTTCAAGATGGTTGAAACCACCAAGCAGGATGTTTTTTTGGTGATGTTTGGTGATACGATTTTGATTATTGGTGAATTTTGGTGGTTATGGTGATTGTGGTGATGGTGATTATGGTGGTGATGATTATGGTGATTATTATGGTGATTATGGAAGATTATGGATTCTGGATGATTGTGGATGATTATGGTGATTTTGGTGGTGTAACTATGGATTATCTGATGGGATCATGATTGGATGATGATTATGGTTTATTGGATGATTATGACAATTGTTGGATGAGGATGAGGATGAGGATGATGATGATGATGATGACGACGGTGATGGTGATGGTGATGATGATGATGATGATGATGATTGTGATGATGATGATGATGGTGATGATGGTGATGATGGTGATAGTGATAGTGATGGTGATGGTGATGGTGATGATGGTGTTGGTGGTGGTGGTGATGTTTGTTTCGATCAATAGTCTCGATACAGTTGTTTCATGTACAATGGACTACATGTTCGGTAATAAGCCCTGGCTAAGGACCAACGTCCATGGATTCTCAGGGTTTCACAGTTAGGGTGGTCAGTGTCCTGGGTATGGGACAGATATGTCAATGCACAGGATTTCGTACCCTATGTGGATTCGTAGGTACATGATATTGACCTCTACCCCCCCAAAAAAACATCTGTGTACTGTTGGAGTGTTGGAGTGGTTTTGCGACTTTGATCATACTTTGATCTATCAGAAAAATCCGAGAATCTTAATTGCAATGTAACCATTTGAATCCATTTGAGTTGTATGAGAATTACATATCACATAGTACAACGTGATTTGTCTGGGCTTATCAAGCAGCAGCTACCTTACATGACCTAGAACTATATAAGAACAGATCCCAACATTGGTTAAGTTGCAGGTTTCTGACCTCCAATTCGGCCAGTATCATACACGAATTATAAGACGGATGCGAGCATGTTCTTGCGATTTCGCTGACTTACCTTCTCCCGAACTATCTATCACAGTTTGACCCTGAGAATCACCCAGTTTTTTTCAGAAAGGTAACTTTCCAAGTCCCAGGTTCTGGCCCCTTGTCGTGTTGGAAAAACGTGGAAAAACCAGTTGGTTGCGCGGGGCGAAAAATCTCCGCAGGTGAGATTTTTCTCAAGGTGGACGTGGAAGGAGCCGAAGTCAGGGCCCCAGTTTGACAAATCGCCCCGAGAGGCGGACATCACGACGACTTGGCGCTTCAAAAACTGTCGGTAGTCTGTGGCAATATATATACGTATATATATATTATAAATAATTGCTATGATAAATTATAAATACATACATTTCAATATATATATATATATATTATATATATACTATATATATATATTGTAAATAACTGCACGTTGATCATGAACATTCATGCTATATTTGTATCATTCTCTTGATTTTTCTCTACACTTAATGGCCCCCAAGATAGTTAAGTTGCTTGATCTGATCGACTCGACCCCAAGGTCCAGTTGCTTCAAGGGCTCGATGACAAGCATTGGGAAGCTTGGCCGTTTTGATGTTTCAAAAAAGGATGGTCAAAAGGTGGTGCCCCAGTGACTTGAGAATGGCTAAGTTGAGTTTTTTGACGTGTTTTTTGTTTTTAACCAGGAAAACATATAGGTATTGAATGGAATGTCATTGGATTTTTCTAGCTAAGTTGGTCAACACCCAGTAACATAACCCATAACTGTTGGATATCTCGAACTGGCGAATGAGGACTAGGAATACTTTGCGAAGCCGATAAACTGACCGTAGGGTCGGCTCGCCAAATTGGAAAGTGCGCCATCTCCCTTGTTGAAAAACGGAATATTGACAGGACAACACTAGGGATTCTTCAGCAAGAATCTAGCCAGAATGGGGAGATATTTGGTTTTCCAACGGGGATATGATATAATGGATCCGGATAGTAGTTACACGATTTTGGTAGGGAAAATCATTATAAACCAATGGATATTGGAGATAACTGATGTCTCAAACCCACATACTACACACATTGTAGCTCATTGTTGCGAGATGTGTTAGTTACAGTGCAGGTTTTTCCGTCCAAACTCACTGCCGCGAACTTGGGCGAAGTTCCCAATATGTCATCTATGGCGCCCCCGTTTAGCTATAAATTGGTTTGTATCTAACATTCTAGATATATCAAACTGCCAGCTCAACAGAGTTCTGCAAACTGGTCGGTGTGCTGTCCAGTTCAAAACCATCAATAGAATCAACAGCTTCAAGGACACTGGGAAGATCGTGAATGTCTGAGTGGGAAATGCTCACCCGTCTGCCTTTTTTGATGTCATCAATGGGCTGGCTGGAAGCCATCATGTGGCTTGAACGGCTTGTGCTGAACGATTCATCATGGTCACCGGATGTCACCAGTAGAGCCCCACAGTGCTTTGCCGCTCTGGACCTCCCCGCGGACTTCGATATGGGCACCGCTGGAGTCGATGCTGGATACCCTCTGGTAATTTAACATAGCTATTGAAAATGGCCAATTATAGTGAGTTTTCCCATTAAAAATGGTGATTTTCCATAGTTATGTTAGTTTACCAGAGGGTAACATCAGCCGCAACAAGCAAAAAATGGGGGGGGCAACAACTCTCCCCAGCCGCATGGCCGCATCCCAGGAGGTGAAATCCAAGAGCTGGAGACCAGCCGTTGGGTCCCGTTGGTCATTTGTGGGTCTGGATTTGAAGCATAAAATGGAACTTGCCCTACAGTAAATTCATATAAATCAGGAAATAGCCTATTTGTACATCGGTTCCCCACGGGGTGAAACCCGATTGGGTTTCCATATCTATTTTAATCTAATTTACTGAATCGTATCCCGAATGAGCTTCCATGAATTTGTCCAGAGATAGAATATACACCAAGACTTACTGGTGCTTAGTAGGGAATGGATGGGAATGGGGGAATGGGATTATTATTACTAGTGATTATGGATCATTCCCTCGTTCCCTGCGTAAAACGCACCAGTAAGAAGATGATCTTCGGATTCGTATCTTTTTCGAAGGGAAGACCGTGGGATTTGGGGGCCTCAGAGACCAGCGGTGTCAAGGATGCAATCTTTGGTATTGCCATGGAGGTGTCGGGTGTTTCCTTGACACCAATCCTTCAGCATCTTGGTGCGGGAATATGCGGCAGAGTCTGGGATATCTTTAAGGGATGGAAAGAAAGCAGGTTTAATGGAGATGACAATGATGATGAGTTGTGGGAAATATTTGTGGATGATGTGGATGTTAAGAGGAGGATTGGCATGTTTAACCTTTGATTACACATGACCTGGACTTTTTTCTGAAATAGCAGATGAGCGGTGTTCAGTAGCACTGTCATAGAAGAGTCGAACCATGCTCAGATCCACAAAACTCCAGTATCCTGTAGTATGTGTATATATATATATGTAATATCCTGTAGTAATCTGTAGTTTGTGCTCACCCAAGTCTAGAGAAACTTACTCTACCAGCACTGGGAAGTTCTCACCAAGGCTGTGCAAAGACCACAGTTTGGAGGTGGAATACTTCAAGCAACCCAGCGGCCCGACAGCTGATTTTTTTTGGTGGGAGGCCCGACAGTTTGAGGAGGTTTTTCCAGTAAAAGTTGCCATAGGATGTTGCCTTCAAAAAACTGGAGCCACGGTTGATGTTGGAATATGATGTAATATTACTTTAGCATAGATTCAACAAATTCCATTTGATGTGGATCAATGATTGGACGGTTTCAGATGCTTTAGACCCAAAAAGGACCAGTGACCTGTGGGTCTGAACAGTTTTCCAGTGGATTTGTTTTTACTAATAAAACGTATGTGAACCAAACTGTTGATAGTCTCGTGTTTCCAGGTTGGCATTTTTGTTTGTTCCCTAAAAGTAGGGACATCGGGCCCTTGCGGACATTGCCAATTTCGATCAAGAAAAGCCATCCCAGATATAGATTAATTGTGATATATTTCACCACATTTGCAGCTAGTGCTACGGTTCCTGCGCCAAGTTCTGTTTTCCCATCCGATTTGTAAGGCTCTGAAGCACAAGATTTGGAGGTGTTGGAGTCGGGAGCATGGGGTGTGATGAAGTTTCCAACTGCCTGATTTGGGTTTGTCAAGAGATACCTATAAAGCAGATGTTTGCCTATTAAGTGGACATCAACATTGACTGGTTGGTGGTTTGGAAGGAACATTTTTTGTTTTCTCCAATAGTTGGGATGATGATCCAATCTGACTAATATTTTTCAGAGGGGTTGAAACCACCAACCAGGGATATTGTCCAATGTTGGTTTCTATCCAGGTCTAGATGGGTCTCATTTTTTTTGAGGATCATCTCATCCGTTTGCGCCAGAAAATCACGATGATTTCCCTCGGCAGGAGCTCTTTATGGTTTATGCTTGCCGCGAAAAAAACGCGGCCGCCGGCAACTCCTTGTGGGTCAACGATGACGGATCCCAAGATGGGTTTGTTTGTTAGGCTACCCCAAGTTTTGGCCATTTCATGGGGGAAATAATTGAAATCATCATCAACCAGTGGATTTGGGTACACCATTTTCAGACTTCATATCTCTATATAGTCTCATGTCTTTTTTTCTGGGGGTCAAGATATGCAAGTTTTTTTGTTACGTAGTAAGTCTCACAAAAGGTCATGATTCATCCCAAAAAAAACTTGAAGCAATGAAAAGAGTCAACAGCTGGTCAGCTCATCTACAGCTGGTTGGTGGTTTCACACATGTTTTATTTTCCATAATATATATATATATATCTATCTTCCTTCAAATTTCAGCTACGTAAAGGGGAGGACTTGGGCTACAGTACAGATTGCCGGCCAGGGGTCGTTTTGTACAAAAAAGTGGAGTTGGGACCACCTTTTTGTAGTTGCATTCATTTTGTAGTTGATTCCTTTCAAATCCTTATTTGTATTTTGAAGTTGTATATGTTGAGTTAGTTGAAGCATCCAACATAAAATATCATTTGCATTTTGTAGTTGTACAGGTTGAATAGTTGAAGCATCCAACATAAACAGTGCGTGACATGTACATGGACACAAACAGATCATGAAACAACATAATGCTATCTAACAAACTGCTCGGGGTCAACACTTGATCCAATTAAATTCAATCATTGACAACTACAAAATGTCTTCTGAAATTATGTTGGTCGGAACTTTGGATGGCATAGACCCAACTACAAAATGTCATTGGGAAAAATCATGTTAGCAATTCCGATTTTCAGCTATCTTTTAACTTCAGATGCATTGGTTTTTGTAGTGCATATTTTGAATTATTTTCCGAATCAGATTAAGTTATGTTCTGTATTGTGTAGCTGCAAAAAAGTTACCATGCATCGAATTTTGTAGTTGCGCACCCTATGCTTTGTGTCTTGTACCTATCAACATTTTCTGCACAACTCCTCCCCCTTATCTGAACCCTGATTAATATATGGGATAATCCTTCCCATTGACTTTCATATTTTTCAAGCTGGTAGGTATACCACCAACCAGGCAGGTATTATTCAACTGGCCTCCCGGGCGCGCAAGTGACTCTCAACCAGGGTTCATTCAAACCACCTGTGGTTGATTTCAGGGGCGATTTTTGGGAAACGGCCCCTAGCCATCTCATGACCATGTAACTGGACAAAACTCTAACACACTGATGTGTAAAACCCAGCTATGAAATCGTACATGCCAGCAGTTCTTTTGGATACCAGCTTTCGTTATAGCAAGGGAACCTCTATCCTGGATCTATCTTTGGATTTTTGTTCCTCTTTATCGAATAAGTAAAACTAATAGAAACTAGTAAAAACCAATAGAAACTAAATACACAGAGACAGAATCCCCTGAAATCAGTGTGTTCTTTTCGCCACCTCAGCAGGACCATTTGCTGCTCCCCTCGCCATATCATCCTGCAGACGCCAGGACGGAGTCCGACGGTTGGTGGGTGGCTTCATCGGATTTCGGGATGTTTCGTGTAGGTCAAAGAATTATGAGGATATTTTTACCATCTGGTTATGACTAACATAGCCATGGAAAATCACCACTTTTAATAGGTAAACCATCTATAAATGGGCCATCTATACCATGGCTATGTTAGTCATAACCAGAGGGTAGATGAGGAAAACTTAAATGGGATATATCATGGGGATATATCATATTATCATATATCATCCCTTGATATCCCAGTATACCAGATAGTGGACCACTGATTTGCAGAGGATTTAACCAACGAGGCAAGGCAGGGGTTTTTTGGATCGACGAAAACTCTTGGTATGTTGAAATCACCAGCCACTATATGACTTGACATATAACTACATACATCTACCCATCTCCCTATGGAAAAGATGAAACACAATGTGTCTTGACAAGTTTATCCAGACTGAATCAAACAAACCTGGTTGGTTCTTTTATGGTGGTGCTATTTTAACAACATCTGATCACTTTTCTGCGGGTGACCCCTAATTCATCAGCCAGGGTGTTTTGAACCCGATTTACATCATACGCGTTCAATGTACATTATGATACCAAGGCGGAAACATGGTTTTACTATGTACTGATATGATGTGCTATGTAATGAATCCCATCCTCCATATTAAATACGATGCATGAATAGGACCGCAAAGATGAGTGAATTTAATAACAAAACCTGGGGTTTCGATAATTTGGTGGTATTAAATTATTAAATATCAGGGGGAAGGGATTTATTCTAAGTTTGGTAAATATTCTCAAGAATTATAAGTATCCTAAATGTATATTATTATTGTTTTGTCAGCTATGTACAGAAGATGGAGTAAAAACAACTGCCATTCTGGGGTTCCATGTTCATCTCATCTCCCGGCCACCCAAATGGTTGCATGTAGCAGCCCCCCGATAAAAACATGTTTCTTATAATTGTTCATTCTTGAAGTTGCAACTTTATGATTTCGAGCATTTTTGGTGAAACCAAAATCATATTTTTGAAGTGTGTATATCTAATTATATATATACATACAAATCGTGCCCACTATATTAAAAATACATATAATATACATTTACCAATTCGTGTTCAAATCATCCCCGGTGGTGCACAAAAGGGGACGCGAACACCGGATCGAACGTAGGTCACTGCCAACCGGCTTGAAGCTCATCATTGGCTTTGGCGGGAGGTCCTAGAGATCGCAATCGCAGGGACAGATCTGAAATAGGTACTACTAGTAGGAAATCATGAAGTTTTACCCTCTGGTAAACTAACATAGCTATGAATGATTTACCTATTAAAATGGTGATTTTCCATAACTATGTTAAATTACCAGAGGGTAATGGATACTGTAGATGTGTTATATATATTATATTGTATAATTTTCACAACAATGATTGTGAGACAATGAAGCACAAGTAATGGGAAATCATTGATATATAGTTTAACGGAACGGAGAGATGTGTATTTAATCATATTGATATGTTTAGATAATTTAAACATCAACATGTTGGCATACATAATGAGATAGACCTGGATGGAATGAGGATATCATGAAGATGTCATGGAATGTCATATGTAGTGTGATGTAATGAAGATTTTAAGCGGGATATAGTGGGGATTGAAATAGCATATGACATATGAAGATTGGGATATATTTCAATTGCCACTATATCCCGCAAAATCATTGGGAAACACAATTTCCATGAATAGTGGGGATTGAATCATATGATTTGTGTTTGAAGATTGGGAAACTTGGGAAACCGTCAATTCATGGCAATTTCATTGAGACATATTATGATTCACCTGCGGATTTGCATTCGGATCGATTTGGGGTGCAATCACATTACTGGTTGCAGGTTACTGGATACATCTGTGTGAAGGCACCGTTCAAATGGTGCCATCCGTTTTTTTGAACGGTTTCTAGGTATTCAGGTGGAGATGCACGGCCACATAATGTGTCTAACAGACAATTATGTAATTCAGATCATTTTGGGGATGCGCAGTCAGATTCCAGCCCAGCTTCTAGGGGTAATTATTCTTGAAGCTGTAGCTTTTTTTTGGCGGGATGGCTTGCAAAACCCATCTGAAGAGCTTGTTCAGGTGAGAGGTAAAATTCAGGCACGACCCATCACATTTAGTGCCAGAAGGAAGATATACATTTCCATACAATTTGGTAAACCTACAATGTGAGCCCCCAAGATAGCTAAGTTGGTTTATAACTCCAATAACTATGGTTTATGGTACTTATAACTATACTTACTGGGGCGAATCTAAACCAACAAACACCACTGGGGGGCCTCACTAATTGTAGTAGTGAACCAGTTTTAAGGTGGGTTTATTGTGCAATATTGGGCAATATTGGGCATACGGCATACCGCATCATCCCGGATGACGTGGCGCTTTCCAATGTGGCGTTTTTTGTCCGACGCCCTGCTGTTGCCAAGAACTTTCAAGCTGAATCATCCCGGGGGTTTCATGGTGGCGAATGCTTCCAATCCCAAGTGCTAGTTAAAATAGCCACCATGAAATAAATATAAGAGTACATAACAGTAACAATAACAGATGGATTTGTGGGTTTGATGGTGGGTTTCATGGTGTGTTTGATGGTGGCTGATTGTTAATTAGTTAGACAGTATAAATATTATATATATAATAATAACAATAAGAATCAATAAATATAAGAAATAATAAGAATAATGATAATTAATACTAATAACAATACACGAGCACAATCTTTGATGTTTCCCCACTGGATCACCATTCATATTCCACCCGCCTTTCGCCTTGAGGCCTGTGCGCCTTGAAGTGTTGCGGCGAGGATCGCTTCAAAGACTCGCAGGACTGGGGCTGAACTGCTGGTTGTGGTGTATACCACCTGGCGTTATCAGGATTGTATTGATATATACATCATCACTGGATAGTATCCCAGTTATATTCCGACTATCTCTTATTGATATGGATAAATCTTGATAAATCAATATGCATCATATCCCATTATATCTACATTTGTACCACCAATTTAGGGCATGTCATATGGGTATGGATCAAAATTAAAGACCTGGATGACCACAGATTTAAGTTTGTTTGGTATTAACCCTCTAATCATTGGGGTGCCCAATTTTGACCCATAGCAATATATAATATTGTTTTAAAAACCATTGAGTACCTAAATATCAAATAATCAACCAGTATGCTGTAGTATGTTCAACGTTTTTTTAAGGAAGATCTCACATGATGAAACCTCTTCAAACAGATTTGTCCAGAGGGCCGGTACGCTGTAATACTGAACATTCCCTGCTATCTTTGCTGGAATCATACATGAAACCAGGATCCATGCTTTGGAAGTGTTCGTTGTTTTTATTTAACAGGAATCATCTGAAACAAAATCAGAGATGTTTTCTAGAGATTTCCATATAGTCATATATTTCACAGCTAGTTTTCTATAGTTTTTATATCTGGAACCATGGTTTTATCATCCACCCGGCTGGGTTTTTTGCATCAAAAAGAACGCCGTAGGCATCGGCCCTGGATCCCAGGAGCTGCAGCGCTGGCAGCAGTTGGCCAAGGTCCTGGGGCCGGAAGACCTGGCCTTAGAGGCTGGGAGTTCATCAAACAGAGCCATTCAAAATGAGGGATACCATGCCCAGATGCTCCATGGTGCTGGAATATTTACCTACATTTACCCCACAAATGACCAAAATGACCCAGTTTTGTAGGTAAATATTCCGGCACCATGGAGCCCCCAAGATAGCTAAGTTGGTTTATAACTCCAATAACTATGGTTTATGGTAGATATATCTATAGTTAATGGGACTTATAAACCAACAAACATCACTGGGGGGGCACTAACATGATAACCTCTGGTAAATTAACAGTTCGACGCTGAGAATCGCAAAAAATAACTGGATGATAACCTATTACTATAGTACAATGTGAGGCCCCCGTTCGATAGTGATGTTTGTTGGTTTAGATTCGCCCCAGTAACTAGTTCGTTATAAGTACCATAAACCATAGTTATTGATACCCTCTGGTAAATTAAGATAGACCCTGAGAATCGCAAATTTTTAATTGAAACTAATCTTCCAACCCCTATTTGGCAGGGTCTATGTTAATTTACTGGATGATAACCTATAGTACAATGTGAGGCCCCCAAGATAGCGTTCAGTTGATGAACATTACTCCAATTTCACTGTGGTTTATGGTACGCAAATAACGAACTAGTTACTGGGGCGAATCTAAACCAAGTTATAACTGGGGGGCCTCACATTGTAGGGAAAGTTATCAACCAACTATAATGAGAGATGCGATTTTATACACCAAACACTTGGGATTTCTAGGATTTCAGCCAAGAAGTACGGCTTCAACCAACGAAACCGTGTGATTTAATCCTGGAAAACAGGAATATACTCGGAAGTCTTAAAGCTGTTGCGTTTTTACCCCAGGGGAATCTAACATAGATGTGGAAAACCCAAGTGCTTCGGCTTTGTACCTTGCTTTCTGGAACAGTTGTTCCAAAACGGGTTTGCAATTAATTTTGAGCGGGTTGAAGTGGGTACAAGGTGGTACAAGACAGAAGTGATCCTGTCAGAGCGTGTTGCTTTATTTATATATATAATATTCATATAATTATATCATATATATATATATGATATAATTATATGAATATTTTATATATATATATATGAATACATAATAGTCATGTAAATGTAACTACTTCTCATACATTAAACTTGGCGTTGTTATCATGCAAAAATGGAAGCCCAGTTGAAAAGGTGAAGCAAGGAAACATAAAAAAAACGATCCAGATATTGGTCAGCAAGAAAACAGCCACCACAATGGAATTTGACAGATTGTTTGCCAGCCAAGAGAATTAGAAAGAAATACATCCAGCATACCACCCGTGTTTCCTTCTGAAAGCAAGGTGAGTCGTTTTTCAATTTAATGAATTAGAGCAATTGCAAGAGATTGGAATGCTGACAGATGTATGATGTGCTTGGCGCGAAAGTCTTGCTGGTGCTGCCAAGTGCGCCAGTAGAAGGAGAACTCGCGAATTGGGGGCTGTTGTCACGAAACTCGACGACTGGAATTATTTTTACGAAGTTCGTATTATATCCCAAAGGATCCATGTATGGTATATATGCTAACATTTAGGGTGTATTGATGGGATCCATGTTACCATATATAGCATACATGGATCCTATGGGTATGAGATGGCCGCATACTACGTTCACCTCGGGCGCCTCGCGCTCTTTCGACGAGACGGCGTTTTTCATGTGGGAACTTCACGTCCTTGGGCAGACGATCGCAGACACAGAGTACGTGGTCCCGTCAAAGACATTGGCCATTGGCCGACCAGAATCGAGCTCGCGGATCAGGACAGAAATCTGGAGCAATACCCATAGGATCCATGTATGCTATATATGGTAACATTTACCATCAATATACCCCAAATGTTAGCATATATATACCATACATGGATCCTATGGGATATATATGATATATGTTTTACTATTTTAGGGTATTCAGCAAAGCATTGATGTTGAATCCATCTACTGTAAGCAAGACAATTCTAGGCATCCAAAACTGGTTTTTGACTCTCGAACTGGGTATGCAGTATTATCAACTGGCAATTCAACCGGCCAAAATGCGCACATGAACCTGAAAAGACAAGATTTCCCCAACAAAAGCGGCACTTGAGCCAACAAGAGATATTGTAAGTCAATAGCAAAATTGTTTGACAGTGACGATGAAAAGGGATCATTATATTCCCCCTGATGCGTAGTTCTGATGCGTAGTGAAACCTCGTGCAAATCTTGGCACATGTTGGTAAAATAGTGCTGAATTATTCGACTTATTCGCTACAGAAGATGCTTTATAGAGGAAATAAGATAAATAAGGAAACACAAGAGACTTTAATCAGAGTGGAACCCAATCCCAAGGACTCAAGTATCACAAGTGGGTGGTATGTTTGCCAAGACAAGACATAGGGGGTAGCTCAGCCACCTACCTTTTTCATTGTAAGCTACGCAAAGTCGAAGATGGTACTTGGTGGCTCATCCCACTTAGTAAGTGGGTTATAACCCCAATTATAAGTGGATTAACCCTACTTATCCCATTTATAACTGGGGTTATAACCCACTTACTAAGTGGGATAAGCCACCAAGCAGATAGTCACAATTCGGTCCCAATGGAGGTTGACAATGTCCGTCGATTTCCAGAACGAAGCAGCATATGAAACAATGGGAGGAAGCCTGGAGTTGGTCGCTACAATGTGAGGCCCCCCAGTGATGTTTGTTGGTTTATAAGTCCCAGTAACATGTTCGTTATAAGTACCATAAACCATAGTGAAATTGGAGTTATGTTCACCAACTATTAGCTATCGAACGGGGGCCTCACATTGTAGGTGAAGGGTCTAAGGCAGCTCCGAACCATTGACCATTAGCTGGATCCGCCGATCCACCAAAAAAAAAACATCACTTCAGTCCTTGCCTTCAGCAACTTACACACTCCATCACTTGGTATAGGCGATTTTCTGCTTTGTGTTTACTACTGCCATGTTTTTTGGGGTGTGATGTCCCAAACATATCCCATCACCAAAACAAAGCATCCATATGGAGGTTTCCTAAAATAGGCTATACCCCAAAAAATCATCCATTCTAATAGGCTTGTCTATTATAAACGATCCAGCTATTGGGGTACCCCCATTCCTAGATCTCTGATCTCGGCCCTTTTCGTTGTGGCGACAGGCCACGGAGCTGGTCTTCACCATGAAGGTGGTCCTGGAAAAATGGCCGGAGGAGCAGGAGACACCGGCCGTTCAGATCCGGCTCGAAGGGGATGGAATGGGGTGGGACTGTGCGTTGAAAAACCATGGTGAGCCCAAGATAGTCCAAGGATTACCTGACTGCCGCCGTTGATGGGGATGTTTGTGGATAAATCAAATCATCTCAGCTCTTCGTTGATCCAAGTGATTACATTCATTTACATTCTGAAAATATATGAATTGTGGATAAAAATCGTGAGCAATGGACTTTTGTTTTCGCCAAGAAAAAATGGAGCATTTTGCCAGCAGACGTACCCATTTTGAACGTGGGGTACTGACAGGGGAGTTCACCATAGCATCAGGGTGTTCGCAAAACAACACTTACCCTCTGGTAAACATACAAAAAACTATTGAAAATGGCTATTTATAGTGGATTTACCCATTAAAAATGGTGATTTTCCATCGTTATGTTAGTTTACCAGAGGGTATGCATCCCTCAGAAATCCAACAAATCTTAGAACCGAATGACAAGGGATTCGATGGGCAGTTCCTGCAATACGATTGGGGATGGAAAAATCATGAAAAATCAATGAATACTCACTACCCTGCACAAAAACATGGAAAGACTGGATCTTAAAGATACAATGTGGAGCTCACTAGTGGCCAGATTTTCAAGGGCACCATGTTTCGAAAGTCCAAGTTTAGCCCTTCAGTATCAGGGCTGCCAACTCACCAACTGCAAGCTAGCCACGTGGCGCAGTTTATATTGACATGGCCCACGTTTCAAGATGTTTTCCAATGTGGCGGCAATTCTATATATCTCTCTTGGCATTTGTTTCCGTGACCTGCGACCTTTAAAGTCAAATTTCTTACTGGAACCCAGAGTGAAGTTCTTTCAGGACAACGAATTCTTCTCCAATTTCACCCGAATCCTCTCAGAGTTGGTCGCTTGGTTGGAACATCGGTGTAGGGGCTAAAGATCAAGATGAAATCATGACAGGGCCTGATTTACTCGGATTTTCCAGGATTTTCCGAGAACTTTGCCACTGACATGACATAAACAAGTTCTCGGGACGGCTGAGCCAATCGGTTTTTTGGGGTGGGTGTCAACTTCCCACCACCTTGGTCGCACGTCATGGAAGTCCGGCAACATGTCAATGTCGAGGAGACCACGGGGTCATCAAACAGCGGTTCTCAGATGGTGTGTGGCAGTTTAGACATGTTTGAAGCATCTTGAAGCTACGTATATTTCCCAAATCGATGGGTTTCAGGATCTCTGCCGGAAAAAAATGGAACCATTTTGGCTACACGCATTGTTTTACATACCTAACCCATAGGATCCATGGTGCTGCTATATATGGCAACATGGATCCCATCAATATACCCCAGTCATGTTAGCATTAATATACCAGCACCATGGATCCTATGGGTAAGTTTCTGAAGTGCTTACCCCATGTTTTCATCTTGTAAGGCTGCCATGTTTTCAAAACGGTCCCAGAAAGGGATGAACCTGCCTGCTGTGTCCGCAAAAAGGGTGGAGAATTTAATAAAGCTTCAATCAGATTCTATTGTGTTGTATCATAGGTATGACAATATGACAATATATTTAAAATCAAGAACAATTTACGTATACATGATATGAGCATAGATGTGTTTTTCGTTCTGCTGGATATTAGATGGATCGGCTCCAACTAAGCAATAACTAATAGGTAAGATTACGGTAAGATATGTTCTTAGCTGCCTGGAACCCAAAAGCATGTTTTCCTAATAAGATTCTATGAATAAAATTACAACTTCATTGGTCAAACTATTTTTTTTTAATAAAGGAACCTTGTTGAGCCCTTATCCAAAACACCCTTATCCAAGTCCAAGTGCTTACTAAGGTGTTGCAACACTGATATGCTGTATTTTTGTTGTCACTCTGGAATATATCCACAGGGTTTGCCATATTTCTGGTAGTATTGTCCTTGGGGGTCTGCTCGGCTCCCAGACGTGTCTTCCGCAGATTTTAAGTATCGGTTCTGGGTCGAGCTTCCGGGGTATCAACATGCTAAGCCCCCCAGTGGCACCAAAAATGGGTAACAAATGATACATATGATATGTATATGGTAAGAAAAAACATGTAGCATTTTGTATTCTGATTATTCTGCCCCCCAAGACTTTAAAACCATGACAGCCAAGAATAGCACGCCAAACACAAAAATGGCTGGCAAGTGAATCATGGCTGTCATTTTGAGCTATCCCAGTGGCACCATGTGGCACCACAAAGGCGGAAGAAGCCGATGAGTTCCAAAGTCACTGGGCAGCGATGTCGCCATGGGTCAAAACATGTCAAACTCCAAAATGGGACCCAAACCTATAAGGTGAGAAGCATCCTAGTTATGCTTTCTACACCCATGAACTATCATGAACTATCATGAACTATCATGAACTATCATGAACTATCATGAACTATCATGAACTATCATGAACTATCATGAACTATCATGAACTATCATGAACTATGGGGTTATCTCATGTTTTATCCCCAAACAAAAACGCAAACGTTGACCAAGTTATAAGTCAACTTGGCGATCGTTTGGGGGCGTCACCTTGTATGGCTCAATTTTGGATCTATACCAATACCACTAAAATATAAGTTAAATCGAAGGTCCCATTCCTGGATCTCGAGTTTTTCCCCATAAATGTTGGCCACGAGTATCCACATATTCGTGAAATATATGAGAGGCCATAAATGGAGGGTCTAAATCATCCACCTTTTCAGAGCCCTCTGAATGGGTTGATCATCCTGACCTTTATATGTATCGAGGCGGCTCAACCACCAACCAGCTTGTCATCGTCTATACCTCACAACAATGTTTAAATTGGTTCATTTCTCTATGGGCATGGACCATAGTCTATTTCAATCCATTATAAGGACCTATTTACACAGTCCATAATGTGGTACACCCAATAAGAAGCCATCCCCACAATCACCATAAATGGGTGGTATTCCAACCATCCGCAAATAGTAGGTTATTATTTATTGGCCCACAGTGGTCTATTTTTTCAATATACCATCATAATAATGACATATAATGATGTCAAATAGGTCCATTTATCCATGGGTATTAGAGGTTTCTTAAAATAGGGGTACCCCTAAATCATCCATTTTAATCGGAGTTTCCAGAAAATACACCGTTTTTTTTTGAATCATCCAGCTATTGGGGTACTCCCATTTATGGAGTCTCCCCCATATGAGCCATGGTCAATACTCACTATATGGTTGATGGTCATCCCATCCATAATAAGGATCCTTATAATGGTTATTATAAATCCCTATGAACCATTGGATGACTAGCCCCTATTAATGGTTATTAACCATGAGTATTGACCACAGCTCATATGACGGTGGTCCTGGCACCACCCCTCCAAGGTCTATGGGACGACGTGCGCTCGCGCAAGCAAGCCATTGCCGACTGCGCGGGCAACTGCGCGGCGACACAGTTGGGGTCGGCGGTGCAGTGATGATGATCCAATGATGACCCATCATTAAGGATTAATGATTGTTATTAATCATTTATATATGGATGTGGGTCAATATGGAAGACCTAGGGGACCACAGATGTTAGTCTAGTTTAGTATTAACCATCCAATTATTGGGGTACCTAATTTTGACCCATACCTATATATATATATATGGAGGTTTAAATGGGAAAATCAAGGAACATCATCTAGTTTTCCATGGGAGAATCATCGATCGAAACAGTGAATTTTCCACTGGTTGGTGGTTTGGAACATGACTTTTATGACTTTCCATATATTGGGAATAGTCATCCCAACTGACGAACTCATATTTTTCGGAAGGGTAGGTATACCACCAACCAGGGATTAATCATAGTTATTAACCATGATTATCCTCAATAATATGATGATCCATAATACTGCTGATCCATTAATGGTTAATAATGATTATCAATAATGATCTTAATGTATCTTAATCATAACCAATGATGATCCAATAATAGATGATCAAACCATTAATGAGAAACCGAGCGGTTAGATATGACCAAGAAATCCAATGATGATCCGCAACGCGTTTTGAGATGTGGATTTCACTTTTTAGGAGATACCCATTGGGGGGTCAATGACATTCTTATCGGAAATTCGAATGTTAATTTGATGAAATTTTCAAATGGTGTTTGTTTTTTTTTTTGTGTTGATGGAATTGAACAGCACGTGATGGTGGAATTGGATTTAATGGGATATGATATGACAAACTGACAATATCCTCTTTCATTCAGAATGATGATCCAATTTCTTGGTCATGATGATTGTGTCTTAACCTGGAATTTGAATTGCTTCGATCACAAATTTGAAGTTTAAAGCACACATCTACTCGAAAATCAGGTGTGTTTTACTAGAGCAAGATATGTTTTTGATTGTTTTTGCACTTTGATGTACCAGGTAATATATGATATATATGGCGATTCAGTCAATAGTGGGGATATTGGGTCAGCATCAAAACCAATGATGGGATTGTTGAGTTATGGTGATTCTTGTGGAGTGTTCCAACTTACATAGAACTTGGAGTCGGGCAAAATTTGCGGTCAGAGAGAATTCATCCAGCAAATACGGGAGTTTCACCCAAAAACAAAGGGACAACATGGGACACCCAGTATACACCTCCTCCTGGAATCCCCTCCCCAACAATGGATTTGGACGATGATTTTCCTATTGAATGTGGCCACTTTCCGAGTTCTATGCTGAATTAAGCAGTTACTAAGCCTAGTTAGTAAATCCCCATTCAGTGGGGTTAGTATGTGACTGGGTTATAATATGGTTCGTAAGCCCATCAAATGGACACTCTTCGTTTCGGCATGTCACCCTCGAGCAATTCGACTCGTCTCAGGTGATGAACAGCTCATGACCTTGGCGCAACGCACTCACTTTAGCGTGATGGTGGCGATTGGGATACCATGGGAGACCCCAAAATTCCAATGGATGGATCAGAGGGATACATGCAATGTGAGGCCCCCGTTCGATGGTGTGAAAAGTGCGTTCAGTTGGTGAACATAACTCCAATATGGTTTATGGTACGCAAATAACGAACTAGTTACTGGGGCTTATAGATACATGGATGTGCTTGAAAATTTGGTATTCCCCCAAATGGAGCCAAATGGGCATGTTAGTTGGAAAATGATGAATATTTCTTCGGGTACCCTATTTTCAGACAAACCGGTATAATTTTACGAAAGTTTTCTCTGAAACTGGGATAGAATACGAAATTGTCAGCAAGAAATGTGGAGTTTGGGATGACTACCCTCTGGTAATTTAACGTAGCTATTGAAAATGGCCATTTATAGTGAATTTTCCCATTAAAAATGGTGATTTCCAATAGCTATGTTAGTTTACCAGAGGGTATACCATATCAAAAACCCGTCGTTTTGGGGGAAGCCATGTGGGGCCCCTAGTCATTGGATACGCCCAAGCCCCAGAAATGGTGGCCTCAGGGGATCAACCTCTGCCAACCACATACCAGATTTCACCATGAAAAATGAGGTATTTACCCATTATTTTAATGGTGGATCTTTCCCATGAAAAATGGTGGTTTATCCCATGAAAAATGGTGATTTATCTGGTAAAAATGGTGATTTTCCCATGAAAAATTGTGGTTTATCTGGTAAACATAGAAAACCTTCATTGAAGCGGCCGTTGAAATAGTGAGTGTTTCCCATGAAAAATATAGAGTGATTTTCCAGTTTGTTATGTAAACGTTTACCAGAGAGTATTTCCACATCATGTCAACCACGGAATTTTCGTAACCCTGGTGACCGGCCAAATATAGTGAGTTTGCCACTAAAGTCGAACTGTCCCGCAACAATCATCCTATGATGTGACTCGTGGGACGCATCCTGTCCCAAGCTATGGGTCACTCATAATGTGGGATCTGTTGCTTGTTTGGTGTTGAACAAAAGTGAGTCAGCAGTGTCAGGTGTTTGCCAGTGATTGTTGGTTCTTTCTGTTTTTTGGACAGATGATTTGAAACAATAAAAATACATGATAAAACATGAAACATCAGATGTTTCAAATATGTTCAAATCATCTTTTTGTGATAGACGTTCTCCCTACAGATGATTTGAAGCATCAAGAAAAGGACCTGCGAGCAAAATGCTCGTGTGCCCAGATAGAGGTTTCCTATGAGATCCTATGAGTTTTCAAAAAAAGTGTCTAGATATCTACCCTCTGGTAATTTAACATAACTATTGAAAATCACCATTTTTTACTGGGAAAATCCACTATTAATGGTCATTTTCAATAGCTACGTTAAATTACCAGAGGGTATGTCTATCTCCATTCAAGTGTGTTTTTGTTTTCATCTAGATTTCCTATGGTCATACTTCGAATTGTGGCTGCGTCTTCTGTTATGGTCATATCCTCATGCCTATTGAATTGGTTCTATCCCTATGTGTGTTTGTTTTTCCCTGGTGGATAAACATGTTCCTTGGGTGAAGTTCTAAATGATAATACAGGTTTGTCAAAAAAATCACCCATCACATTGTGATGTACCCTATTTTTGAGATGGAACTGTCATTTTGTTGCTTGAACAAACTCCAGGACTTTCTCCAAGTGTGTATACGTATATTAAATAAATATGTATATATATAATATCATATATATATATATATAATCATATATATATATATACATATACATACATGCATGTGTGTGTTGTTCTAATTTTCCAGGTAGATGTAGATGTTTTCCAGAATTTGATTCATGATCTTGCTGACCACCAAGAATTGGTTGAATTCCCACACAAACCAAAAATCAAGAGTCTTAAATCATCCGCAAAAATGCATGTTTAATTACGATGTTTATAGCTATACGTTTGTGTTGTGTTTTTTTTTATATGTATACATGTATATATATATATGTGTATTTATAAAATGTGTATTATATATATATACACGCATGGGCAAAATATAGTGACCTCACTGGGTTAGTGAATTATTGTAGTTTACCCAGATATACGGGGGTTTCCATAAATGGGGGTACCCCCATAGCTGGATTGTTTATTTGCTGGAAAATACATCAATAAACAGATGATTTGGGGGTACCCCTATTTTAGGAAACTTCAATATGTATATATATATATACTACACGCATACATATGCTATATATATAATACATGTTACATACATATATACAACTGACCCATCTACAATAATTCACTAACCTAGATATTCTAATATGCTTCTTAGCCATCTATGGTTGAGTGAATTCCCCCCATCTTTTCGCAGGAGATCGAACGTCTCCGCAAGGAGGTCAGTGACATGCGCCGCAATCCGCGCCAGCCCGTGGGGGTCCAAGTTGGAGATACCCTGGCCAATGGTCAATAAAGGCCTCAACATAGGGGAATCAAGCAAGAAATCTGGGGAGTGATTGGGTGTTTTATATATACTTAATACATATATATATATATATTAAACACATATGTTTATATATATTATATATATATATGTAAGGTTTAAAATGATGAAAACCAACAAGAATGGGGTCTTGGGTCAACCTCGGTGAATGGAGAATATATGAGAATATGTTTGCCAGCGAAAACATTGACCATGGCAACTATGGTAGGTCTATGGGAGGTTTTCTGGTTTGACCCACTTTGCCATTTTCTTACTGGTGCTAAACGCAGGGAATGAGGGAATGATCCATAATCACTATCAACAATCATCCCATTCCCCCATTCCCATCCATTCCCTACTAAGCACCAGTAAGTTTTTGGACTGCAAATCCAGTTCGCCCTTAAGTTTGAACTGCAAAATTGGCAGTTAGTGTAGCCAAACCGGTCTTATGATCTATAGTGGGTACACCTTGGCGAATGGTAGGAGCAAAGTATACCCAGCTCAAACTTATCTTGGCAGGTATCCAAAATGGGTGACGCCACATACACGAGCTAAACGATGATTTCAAACATGGCTAAAATCATTTAACTCTGCTTGCCCCCTTCCATTGTTTGAAGGTCGGTGATCCAGCTATGATAGCCTCATGGGCAGCAACTATGCAGATATTATGCAGATTGCGTATGTGCAACATGAAAATTACTGTGGTAACGCCAATGCCCAAAAGCAACATATTGATTTACCACCCAGTAACCCAACATGTGGAGATGATCCGAAGACTTGCAAGGTCAGTTCCAGTTATAAGTTGTAAGCGGAGATTTCACGATAGTTCCAGGGATGATATACTGATTGGTGGTTTGGGACATTTGGATTATTTTTCCATTCAGTTGGGAATGTCATGATCCCAATTGACGAAGTCCATCATTTTTCAGAGGGGTAGGGCTCAAGCACCAAGCAGTATATCCGACCATAGGGAGACCATGGGCGCTAGCTACCCCCAACTCCACCGGTGAAAAATGGAACCGGGAAACCCCTCGAGGCCAAAGTCGACTTGGACAGTTTCAAGGAGGGTTTCGACCACTTGAGGGGCCGCAGTTGAGGTGAAAAAAGACTGTAACGTTGATCCCCATAAATTGGGATATCACCCCTAATAACCCTTATAAGTGTGGTTATGTGTATACCGTATATATATAATGATAATATCTATAATGATATAATATATTTAATGACAATATATATATCATTATATATATATTGATATAAGATATATATATATATACGTATATATGTATGTATATCCACTTAGTATCACTTCCAAACATGGAGGCTTCTGTACGGCTGTTCCGTTTGTGAACAATGTTCGGAATGACGATGGACCATCCAGCGACAAGTTCCGAGTCATTGCCTTTTTGTGGGATGTTCTATGTCCTCGTCATGTCCACATCTCAGTCAAGATTATCGAAAGTTGGATCTTAATACACAGAGAATTGTTTTCAACTATATATGATGCGAGGAACAGTATGTCTATATCACCCTTTGGAAAACGAATGCAGCCAACATCAAACAGATCAGTGCCCGCCCAATAACTAACTTCTCACTGACCCCAGCCTGGATGGGTTCAGGAGCTTGTGAAACGAGCAGTTCCTGAGTTCCCCACGGATCTATGTGGTCGCCTGTTCCAGATGCTGGGGCGGCATTGTTCAATCCATGAGTCGGATATGAGGGGAGCTTAGGTATCTTACTTGCGGATACCTTGATGAATGCTGGGTGGATCATGTTCGATGAGCTTGATGGCTTTTGGTTGTTGGTTTGATGTAGGAAAGATGTCAAAAAAAGACATCACCAATCTAGTAATTGGGATTCATTCAGGATTGACTATTCTACATGTTTTTTGATTATTGTATATATATATATATATTTATACAGACACACCCACACACTAACTTTTGAGGTATTTGGTTTCAACCGCATTGTGATTCAAAACGTACATTCAAAACGTACGCAGTCAAGCTTGGGGACATCCACGCACAAACCTACAGCATGTCATGGTCTGAGGAAGAAACAAGCGAAAGGGAAGTCAGTGAGTTTCAGAATTCTCTGACATGGAACTCAAATAGACTTCAGAAAGACTGTATTTGCACCGATTGACTGGATTCTCATTCTCAGGTTGTCAATGGTTGTTTCCTTTCATTGATGGCTGGATAAAGGTTGCTTACCTTTTCTAGTGCCATGGGCGTGTTAATGTCCAATCTTATTATCAGATTCAACTTCACCTAACACATCCAAAAAGAATGCATGTTCACGCCAAAAAATCAAAAGAATCTGCCAAAGTTGATGGCTTATAACCATTTTCATCCATGTTCCCTATGCAAATTGCCATTAAATCCTCTTGGAATCAAAGGCTGGCTGGGAAATCCCCGAACTAAATGGAGGTTGCGAAAGAAAATCATCGAAGTAATGGATGGAGTTTCCAGCCATGTTTGAGAACACTGGAGGGTATCAAAGTTTTCATGGTGTTTTTTACCGTTTTCCTGTGCAAATGGCCGTTTTCGTGGCTGGCTGGGAACCCCCCGGAAAAAAATCCAACAATGGGGATTTCAATGGGAAAATCATCGAACTAGGATGGATTTTCCAGCAGCAAGCCACGTTTGATGACATCGGACCGGAGGGGAAATCCCTATGATATTCCCATTATTCTTGGTCAATCCCCATATGTTTTCCCATATTTGGCCCGTATTTTATTGGAAGATATTGGAAGTTCATTTTTTACTTATAGGAATGTGTTCCAAATATCCCCAATGTTTTTCCCACTTATATTGGAAGTTAAATCCTTCATTTTCAGACAGAAAAACAACTGAGGAAACTGGACTGTTTCCGCGTGGGTCGTTTGTCCTTCGTGGAACTCGCGTGTGGCATGCATCATGGCATAGAAATGGTGTCAGGGTGGTTACCACTGAGGAACAGGAGGTTTTAAAGGATGAGTTGATATGATTACCTATTATTACGCAATTGATCATACTTGTATTTATTTATATTCATATATATATAGAGTGATATTTATCATAAGTGTATATTTATACAGTTGCTTTCCAGTCATACAATGAAGAATATGACCATACCAAGCTAAGATACCATGAATGTGTTCAAGCTATCTATAGGTCACCAGGACTGACTTCGCATGGATCGCCCAGTTTGGTCAGGTATATGATTAGACCACCCCATATGTAGTGTCCACCGTGCATCATTACGGGAAACCGTAGTTGGGTGCGGACCGCCCCAATTCAACAACCCAGGCATTTGCGGAACCCTGGTTCCGGAAATAGCCATGGTTGTTGGTTGTTTCCCTATGAAGAATCCTCTACATAACACATGCAATGTGAGGCCCCCCAGTGATGTTTGTTGGTTTAGATTCGCCCCAGTAACTATAGTTATAAGTACCATAAACCATAGTGAAATTGGAGTTATGTAAACCCCAACTTAGCGATCGAACGGGGGCCTCACATTGTGGTGAACTAAAACCTGGGCTTCCAGGCTCATTTTGGTCCAAATTTCAGGGAAACTCCCGCGAGGTCTGCTTTATCCCTGGGCACCATGGATGAGAAATTGCAGGCTCGAAACAGATCTTGCCATGGCAGTATCAAAACTGGTTGGTGGTTTGGAACATGTTTTATTTTCCCCAATAGTTGGGATGATGATCCAATCTGACTAATATTTTTCAGCGGGGTTGAAACCACCAATTAGAAAAGCAATAGTAATTTATTCCATACCCAAATTTACCGTAAATGGATGGTATAAGCCATCAAGATATGGTTTGTTTACGATATTGCTTTACTAGAAAAACAACTCGTATACTATAACTCGTATATAACTGGCGAATACTGGGGGTATTTCACTAATCGAACTGGGATATAGTATGGTTATTACCAGAACTCAGGACTTGACCACCGCAAAGCCACTGGGATCCATGATGTAACGGCTGGCGGTGATTGTCATCCTGTTCCATCCTGTTTCAAAAAAAGCTCCATTTTGGTGAGCAACGCCACAAAGTTGACGCGCGTATTTGTTTTCCAGCAAAATATCTAGTTTCATGTGATTCAGGTAGTATCGCTAGTATGAGCAGTATCAAAATAACAGTTAACAATTATTTCAAAGATAGGATTATTTATGATTATAGGATTCTTATACATATGTTGTGATATGTTGTGATCATTATTTTCAATTGCAGTTTTGAAATTCCTGAAAATTGTCCTTTCAAGGAGGGTTTTTCACAAAATACTAATATGATCTAATATGTCACGATCTCAATTATCTCCCACTATCTATGGTTATCTACAATTGGTTGTCGGTGATTATCTATAATCTATAACTCGCACCAGATCATACGTAGTTAAGTTAGTTCAGAACTTATAGTATATTACTATTACAGTCAAATAATTGTCTATTATTATATAGTAAATCTCTCAACTAATTACCCTGGGGTAAACTCAAATAAATTTTAAAAACCTAGTGTTTCCCGGTTAGAAAGTCGTCTACATTTCCGGTTCGTTTTCCACGTGTATGTTTACCGGAGGGTACTACATGATATATTGGGCATATAGCTGATACAGCCATACATCACCAACTAACAACGGTTACAATTTGGATTTACCAACTACCAAGTATGGAGGAATCCCCATAACCCGGGTGTTTTCATAATGACCCTCTTGGACGAGGTGTGCTTCGATATGTTCGACTCTGAAGGCAGCTCGGGAAGCCGATGTTCCAGGAATGAAACACCGAGATATTTTGTTTATGCAGTGGGTATCATTGCTTATCATTGGTTTTTGTCGTAAAAATATGTGTTTACATACCCAGATGCGAACCATGGTGCTGGAATATTTACCTACATAAAAACCCCATATTTATGACCCAGTTTTGTAGGTGTGCATATTCCAGCACCATGGTATGTAAACAACTCGAGGTCTTGGGGCTCAAATTTTGATCCAAGAGCCATGGATATCCATGGCTATATCCATAGATTCCATAGATGATACCTATATATATATATATGTTTATATATGTATGTATATATATATACACTCACCCTGGACTGGAGTAGATGTATTGTTAGATTGTCAAACTTATTCTCAACTTTTAATGGCTAATCTTTTGAAACTTACATTCTATCCACTCCAGGACTGGACTGGAGGATACCTTATGTATCCTTATGATACTTAAAAATACATACATATATAATATATATATATATATATGCACATAATATATATATATACACATTATACATGTACATCTGACCCTTTTCGTTCATGTTTGTGGGCCAGTTGCTATGTTTGCACACGTTTGTTTTGGCACACGGGGGTCGTGACCTGCACCACATGGCTCGGGCATCCCAGCTATATATGGATTATACAGTATATGAGTGTGTGGTTATATATATATATAAACCATCTAAAACTGAGATTTAATCTGGTTATTGGATGCTAGTGGTTCATACGCATATAACCAGTACCTATATGATAGATACATATATATTTTGTTTTTAATTACAATTATATATAATATATAATTATATGTATATATACATACTGCTTATATAGCACTTAGAAACTGGGATCACATCCAGGAAAGTCGCAGCTTCACATTGTAGGTGACCTGAGCCACCTGAGTGTGGCATGGATTGGTTTCAGGGAAAATTTACAGGAAACCCATAGATTTTCTTATGAAATGTTTAAGGGGGTTCCTGTAAATTTTCCCGCCAATCGATTGATATTTCAGTGTGACGCGGGCTGATGGATTTATTATGATTTATTGGCTCTTCATTGAATTAGATTGCTTTTTTGCTGGATTTGAGGTGGTTTTTATCCTAAAAGTACTTAAGTACTCGTACCTCACAACTTGCTAGATCATGCTTAATCCTGGTGGGTCATTGTGGGTCGTTGTGAATATTGTCACTTGGGGCGATCTACAAATAACTTTAGATTGCATGCATTGCAGTTTTTTTTACCCCAGCCCATGTCAATAAGGACAGAAGCCCCATAAAAATGTTCTGGTTGGTGGTTTGGAACATTTATTATTTTCCATAATGTATGGGATAATCCTTCCCATTGACTTTCATATTTTTCAGAGGGGTTCAAACCACCAACCAGTGTGGAAACCCATTCAAAATCCCTACATTTTCTGCCCGTCAATCTGCATCGCCGCCGGCCAGGTCGTCGCGCCCTGTCGCTCTCCGACGTGAATGACCTGTGCAGCACATTGTTCCGCGTAGCTTTGTCCAGTGGCATGGGCCACAAGCAAGCCTCCACCGATGAGGTCGCAGTGGGATGATAAAAATGATGAGTTAAGGGGCGCCAGTTGGTGATTTTGGAATATTTTTTGGGGGGATTGAAGCATCATTAAAGTGGGATTTAAGTGGAGTTTTATCATGTTTTTACCATAATTTCTTGGGTTTAAACCTCCGTTGATGACTAGGTCGTCATTTGATGTAGATTTTGGTCATGAACATATGGGGGTATAAGTGGATATACATGATAAATGATGATTGGTTGATGGTTAGTTCGGGGGGCATACTAACCAATAATCAATATATGGTGGAATATCACAATCCATGAACTGGGAAATCCTATTCACCCACCAGTATAAAGGGATAAAGGGACAACAGGGTTTTGGGGTTTTGAACACTGCTCATGAGTCAAGCCAGCAATTGATGGTTTTTCAGAATCCCGTCCCCCTAATGGCCCTCACATTACTTGAAGACACTGTAGCCTTGCCTTTTTTAGAAGCCGTCCAGCAGATCCGTCCGTGTCTATGGGTCTATGTTCACCCAAATACTTCCCCGACAAAATTCAAGCAAACATATAGGAAAAGTCTACCATACAGGGATGATGTGGGTTATTTCTTTGGTATTGATGTTCCAACTCCAGTAGCCCATTGACCTACTCTTTTTGGCCCGTCACGTCATGGACTTGTGGTAGCATCATGTGTCCAGCTTCCGACGTCTTGGTCCTCACTTCCGACTTCTTCCCGATGGCGGGTGCAGCTACATGAGACGTCGGAAAGCATGTGGCGTCACGTGGAAGGCACATCAAGCTCCACAGCCTGTCCGAGCCTCGCGATGGTCGGGGCTCACAGACAAAAGATGAATCGAGATGCCGATATATCGTAAGTATAGTAGGATGTCAATTCATGTCACTATTGAATGGGATTCAATAGAACGATATCATACAATGTGAGGCCCCCCAGTTGTAAGTTGGTTTATAATCCCCAGTAACTAGTTCGTTATAAGTACCATACACCATAGTGAAATTGGAGTTATGTTCACCAACTTAGCTATCGAACGGGGGCCTCACATTGTATGAATCAATAGTCACTAATGACTAATGCCAACCTCAGATGATTAGACCCCGGTTGATCACATGGCCAAAAATTAATTATAGAACAGGATCCGAGTCCGCACGGAATCGGGATCTGGAGGAGTACGAAAGTACGGTATTTTACCGTACTTTTGGACTCCTAATTCTGTTCTAACAATTCTGGCAACGACTGTATCTCTTCAATAAATAAACATCAATGTATATAGTGGGATAGAATATATTTATAAATGGGATATCCAATGATATTACAGTGATGGGATTTTCATGGACAACGTCAACCCCCGATCTTTAGTCACCCTGAGGCTGTTTAATTGGAGGGTACCCTTTAAGTAGCAAATTAGCATGGTACTTGGGGGAACTTCCCTGAAGAATGCACATAGAAACCAGAATTGTAGAACGGAATAATAACTGCAAATTTAATTAGAACACGCAATTATAGAACAGAATTGGTAAAAGTAATATGGGGGAAAACACAATTATAGAACACACACAAGAATTATAGAACGACAAAAAATTAGGAGTAAGTTGAGAGTAAGTTTTTTTCCAACCTGAGGAAAACGGAATTATAGAACAACCGGGTGCGGTTTTTACAACCGTTCTATAGTTGTGGCACTGACCATACTTCCATGAAGTATTCCAGTTTGTATCCCATTCGACAGTTGATGGTCCTGGGATGAGAAAAAATCCCCATGGATTATCCTCAAGGACTCATCGACGCTGACAGGTGGTCAATCACTTGTCCAAGAAGTCCTTTCGTTTGGAGGACGGCTCTGATACGCTGTTGTGGGTAATTCATGGTGGCTCTTGATCCATGTTTGAGAAACACGTTATTTTTTTGTAATTATTTTTTGACTTGAAATAGAAAGTAAGGATGTAAACCATTGTACATCCTAGGTTTGGAGTTAAATATGGGTCAACGAATGGTTAATGATTGATCATCAACAGTTATAGCAAATTGCTTTGTAAAACATGATGGTAAACAACAGCCATGAATTATATAAGTGATGGTTGTTTCACATGGTTTCGTTGCCGTCATGTTTGGAGTCTGGACTTAGAGATTGGAGCAACTGAGACCTTCGGTCTCTAGATGCTGAATGGCCTTTCTATGTGCAGTGACCACTGACACCGCGAAAGATGCAGTGACCACGCACAGTCTGCACCGAGTGTGTCAGAGACAGAGAGGGGCCTGAAGGAAACTGCGAAAACGAAGCCCGAACCGCCGAAAGAATGGCGCGTTTGGATAGCAAGAAGGAGAAACTCAAGGGCCATTCAAGGGGAACATGTTTGACATCCATCATGAGCAGCCTTCACATCATTTGGTGGATAAAGTGCAATCCATGGTTGATGACGGGGCGTTGTGATACTTGGAGCCTTCAAAATGTACATCAGGTAGTCACGAGGTGCAGAATGACAAAGAGATACAAAGAGGCTATGCAAGTCAAGTTTGATAGCTCTGGAAGTCTCTGGGTGACAAAGAAGGATGCTTACAATGAATGGTTGTGAGTCATGGTTCAGCTTGTCGATGATACAGGTAGTTACAATGTGCCCCCCCCAGGCAAGTTGCTTTATGACTAGGAAGACTATTGTTGATGGTAGATGTATCGATGCTCATTTATGTTTAGAATGCTTAAGAGTCATGACAATCGTATATTATGAAGACAGATTTGCGTTTGATCATGCTTACTGATGACAAATGATTGTTACTGCAATGATCATTGTCAACTCAATTCCAGTTAAGAAATAACAGTGATTAAAGTGGTTAATCTTGATAAATTATCGTGAACGATAAGTAATACTAATTATATATAGTATTAGTTTGTAACATTGTATCGTTAACGATTCTTGGCGATAGTGTCAATTCTGATAGTTAACACCTGTTATCAATGGTCAGTTATAGTTATAGTATAACATCCACATCATCCATGCATACTGTATGCGCGTCCATTTTTCAAAGCTATATTGGTGGTCAGGATAGAAACTTCGTGTCACCCACTATTATTGTTTTCCTATGTTGTTTTAGACGTACCTGGGGAACCATTCAACTTTGAATCTGTTTAGCAATCCTGGTTGGTACATGAATATATATATATATACATATGTATTATATAATATTTACATTATATTATTTATATATTATATATACATATATACATGTATATGCACATATATATATATGGGTAAATTATAACGACCTCACTGCGACCTCACTGGAAATCATGGTTAGTAAGGGGAATCATCCCCGAATGGGTTACAACTATGGTTGCTAACTAGATACGAACCGTATCTCAAATATAACTAGCGTCCCTAGCACTGAAAGGTCATCTATCCTTGCGGTAGTCTTCAAGTTGTTTTGTTTCAAAATGTATTACGGAATCGATTGAATGGACTTGTTACAAGAATCAGAACCAGATTGTTTTTGTTAAATCCATCGTTTCCATCAATGTTTTTAGTTCACAAACAACAAATGGCACACCATCTTAAACACCACCAATGACCAATTTGGGGCTACAACAAACGTGTGTTCCTCCATTACTTTCCTGACACCCATCGAACTCTAATCATTAGAATCGGCCAAGGAGGACCGTGGCGACGCGAATGCAGCCACCTTCGCTGGTGAAAGGTCCAGGTTCTTCACTGCTTCTGGATGTGATTGGTCGATGGTGACTGGCCCGGCTCGGCAATTTGTTTGTGGTGTAAAGCCAACATGTTTTGGGTGATTAACGAATGATGGATCAACCAAAATCCCGCCAAACTCAGGCTTGTTTATATATATATATACTGTAACTATATGCAGCAATGCATATATAACCAATCCACTGTTGGGGATATTGTATATACATATCTACAGCACCACCAACCAGCGGATAGCTAAAAAAACTTCGTTCTGTCAAACAGGATGTCCCAAAACAGAATGTACTCCAAAAAGACATCCACGATTCTCCCGATTCAAACGGCCGGTACCCTCTGGTAGACTAACATAGCTATGGAAAATCACCATGTTTAATAGGTAAAACAACTTTAAATGGGCCATTTTCAATAGCTATGTTAAATAACCAGAGGGTATGTTTTTTGTTTTTTCTGGAGACAGGAACGTCACGAAAACTTTGTCCCAAGGGCTCAACCGGCTCAACATCCGAATGACACCTTTGTCAAACGCCGGGCATGGTATGTTTTTGCTGGTTTCATCTATCTTGACATGGATGTGACCCTCCAATTGACAGTTGGTTTAGTTTTAAAAAAATGCTGGGCGGGTCCATTTTTTTTAACGTTACATGTTCCATCCATTTCTCATCCATTTCTCTACGCCACGTTTTGGTTGTTTGTTTCCCGGTGATTTTTGTCGACCCCTTGGTGAAGTCCCGGGTGATTTGGCGCGGCGCGGCAGTTCCTTCAATGCGTGCACTCCACCGCGTCGGCGTTTGGAGATCACTGCTGGGAATCTCAGCGACGTAGCGGAGAAATGGCCCAACGATGCGTTAATCACGGCTAGATCGGCTATAATGTAAAACCCATGACGGATCCGGCTGGTGCTGGTATATTAATGCTAACATAAAGGGGGTATATTGACGGGATCCATGTTGCCATATATAGCAGCACCATGGATCCTATGGGTAACAGCTGAACTTGAGGTTCGCGAATTATCTCTCTGTTTTTGAAATGATTGTTAACATCTATTTCTTCAGGCTAGTGAAATACAAGCAAATGATTGAAATTGTTGTTCGACCACGGAAAAAGGGATACTAGGTTGAGATGACCACACGCAGTCTGGGTTTTTTGGTGTATCAGCAAGGTGGTGCCCCTAGCCATTCATGAATCATCAGGTTGTTTCGAAAAAAAACTAAGTGACTAAGTTGCTAAATAACATTAAATGACTCTCTCTCTCTATATATATATAGTATCTAAGTGTTTTTCGTTTGTGGTAGATGTAGAATTTCGTCTTTTTGACGAAGATCTCCACTGGGGGTGAAAAAAAACACAATCATCCCTGAGGGTTTCCCGCTATGAAAATGAGGATTGTCCATTGTGAACTTAGATTGCCAGAGAGTGTCTATACATGTTATATATACAATATATATCAATATATTATGAACTCTAAAGATTATAAAGTACATGACTCAAAAGTGGGGTGTTTTGTAAGCGATGATAATGGAATATAATGGATATCGATTCGATTGAAATGGTGAGTTGATAACCAAAAATTGGGAATTCAGCAACTGAATGAACCCCGTTGGTAGCTCCCAGCTGAGATCTAGGAGCTCCAGCCCCTGGGGTGCATGGCTATTTTTTTTTAGCCTTAGTAAAAATGACGATAGGTCCCTTGATTTTATCTGCAGACATGCTAGATTTTATCTCGATCATAAGTGTGAGATAAATTCTAAGAGGCTGGACCCCCCTAGGTCCCCTCAAGGGTACTCGCTTCCAAAGAGGACCCAAGGGGGGGGTCCAGCCCCTTGGATTTTATCTCACTCCAATTTCAGGTCAGGCACCTTGATTTTATCTTTGGAAGGTTGGGCTCATTGAATTTTATTTTCATCCTACTTGAGATTTGGTACCTATCTTATATTTTCAAAGGTTCAGCCCCTTGATTTTAGCTCCGACCTACTTTGATTGCAGTTCCAACGAGATTTAGGAGCTCCAGCCCCTGAGGTGCAGAATATATGTTTTAGTTTTTTGAGTAAAATTGAAGGTTGGGCCCCAGATTTTAGCAGCACACTTGCTAGATTTTATCGTGGCCCTATGTGTGAGATAAATTCCAAGGGCTCCGACCCCCCCAGGGCCTCCCCAGGGCCCCTCAAGGGCATTCGATTCCAAAGAGGATTCAAGAGGGGCGAGACCCTTGGATTTTATCTGATCCCAACTTGAGGTTAGGCCTTTTGATGTTATGAAGGTTGGGCCTTTGAATTTTATTTTTATCTTACTTGAGGCTTGGTATCTATTTTATTTTCAGATGCCAGCCCCCTTCAGTTTAGGTCCAACCTACACCTTGGATTGGAAAGGGAAAAAAAAACAACCTTGATTGATGAATTCCACTGCAAAACTGGCATCAAACTGTAACAAAGGTGCATGAAATTTATTGTGTTGAGCATTGCTGGCATGTTTATCAAGCTCACCGTTACAAATTTCCTCACCTTGAAACTTTATGATTTGTGAACTTTGAGATGAAAATATTGAATTTGACCCAAACAAAAAGGCTGCCAAATCCTGTGCTTCTTCTGTTCCCGGATAGCTGCTTCGACCTAGCGGGGCGAAGCTTGAAGGAAAGAACCAAGAAGAAGTAAATCCATGTCCCCAACCTTGATAGATGAACCCCTCTGCAAAACAGGCATCAACCAAAGGTGCACATGTTTTTTCTTGGGAAACGTGTGGCATGTTTATCAGCTTTCGCGCCACGGAAACCCTGTCAATATTATCTCTTTTGAACGTCATTCTTTGTTGAACTTTCACATCAAGGACAAATATTGAAATTGATCTCAAAAAGCAAACTGGCGTTAAAGGTGCGCAGAAATTGTGTTCTTGGGAAGATAGTTATGACATGTTTATCAACTTTATCTCCGTTGAAAACCTTTCAAAGTGGCCAGCTTATCTGAGGCATGCAGAAAAAATCGATGGCTAAAATCCAGGAGGTCCATGGAGTCCATGGTTTCATAAGATTCACAGATAAAACATGTATGTCCTAAATATTCACAACATGCCCAAAATATTTTGAGGGGCCTGACCTTTGATCATTTTTGAACGTCCAAAATGCTCCAAAGTATTGGTTCCCTTGTCCAAGTTGAGTGTTAGCAAAAATGTTTGGTTTACGAATGCTAGACTTGGGCCCCTAGATTTTATCCATTCAGAAATGCTCAAAAGGGGTATGGGGGGGTCAGGCCCCTCTGGAAAACAGCCACTGGGGTCTACTATTTCAGGGGCTGGACCCCCCCTAGGAACAACCAACCCCGTTCTGAATGGTGACATTAACATACATTAACCAACTATGTGGGGATGTATAAAACTCTTGTCCCAACACATTCGTTAGGTTTTTTGTTGTTCATTTTCTTACTGCAAGATTGCCAATGACATCATCATATAACGTCCACGTGATGCTCCGGTGGGGAAATCTAGAACAGAGGGTTTCCTCTTGTTGCCGGTACTTGGATTTGCGTCGATGATTGTTGATGTTCCCAATGGGAAATCCGCTGCTGTACTTGGGAAATTGGAGGGAATATCATATCTCTCATTTTTAAGTTCCAAAATCTTAAGCGAGTTTTTGGAGCTTCCTGAAGCAGAGGTTCCTTTTATATGGACATCTTATTTTTTGGAGGTTTTGCAACCCCGTCGGTTGCCGTTGCCTGATTCCTGAAGGCCACATGTGAGATTTTCAGCCATCTTCGTGGCGCTTTTGTAATATGAAATGCGTGAAGTTGTAGAATGTAAATGAATGTACCCTCTGGTTATGTCAAAATAGCTATGGAAAATGGCCCAGTCGAAATAGTTGATATACCCAGCTATAAAATGGTGGATCTTTCCATATGTAAACGTTTACCAGAAGGTAATGAAATAGAACTCTTAGGCTCCACCAAGTGGACATCCTTCAACACGATGGCCCATGGATACTATATGGGGCTGTTTGAAAATGGCAACAGCCCAATTTATGTCTATTCTAAGATGGACAATTTCATAAACCAGTGTATGTTGGGGTACCCTAAATTTTCAGGCAATCCCATTTATATATATATACCTTGTCTTACATTAACAAGAATTGGATACTATATATATATATATACACACATTATATTAACATAGATGTCCCTTAAATTCCCCTTGGCTGGTTGATGAAATTAAAGGACCGGATAACCCCACAAGTCAACTTCTTCCAATAATGAGTTTCAAAGGTTGTAGCGGGGTCGGAGAAGGAAGGAAAGACAAAGGAGGTGGTGAAAGACTGTGTGTGAAAGTATGTGAAAAGATAGTATGCATGTACGTATGTACGTATGTATGTCTGTATGTACATACGTACGTATGTATGTATGTATGTAAGTATGTATGTATGAATGTATGTATGTGTATGTGTGTGACAAAGTTGCGCGTGAAAGATGGTGTGTGTGAAAGTGATGTGTGCTTTTTGCTGGCTATCTTCCGTGGAAGAAAACAGGACATTTCTATTGCTGTCTGTATTTCTCTGCTCCATGGGCTTGGCTCGCAAACAGAGGGCCAGCCCTGGCGCGCAAAGAAAGCCTACTCAATCTGAAGTGACTCCATGTTTGCAGATTTGTTTTGCTTGTTTCGCAAGTTTTGAGATTTTAGAGTTTGTTCAGTGTTGGGTTTGTTTATGTCTGGTTGCTTCTACGTTTTTGCAATTAAAGCTTCCACTAGATAGTGACTTGACCATTGGTTTTGCAAGTTGGTGGTGTTTCTTCCACTAGATAGTGACTTGTCACTGAAGGCCAGAAAAGAAACAAGATATGCTTACCACGGAAATTCTTTGTGGGATCCAAGGGTGTGTGCTGAACACTAGGTCTCACGACGTGTCTCACTCACATGCCGAAGCACGCGGAAAGAAGAAACATGCCGGAAGGACCGCCTCTTTGCATGCAAATGACCAATTTCACTTGACTGACTCGTTCTAGTAGAAGAAAGTACTCAAACATGCCAAAATCAAACATGCCGAAGCATGCGGAAAGAAGAAACATGCCGGAAGGACCGCCTCTTTGCATGCAAATGACCAATTTCACTTGACTGACTCGTTCTAGTAGAAGAAAGTACTCAAACATGCCAAAATCAAACATGCCGAAGCACGCGGAAAGAAGAAACATGCCGGAAGGCCCGCCTCTTTGCATGCAAATGACCAATTTCACTTGACTGACTCGTTCTAGTAGAAGAAAGTACTCAAACATGCCAAAATCAAACATGCCGAAGCACGCGGAAAGAAGAAACATGCCGGAAGGACCGCCTCTTTGCATGCAAATGACCAATTTCACTTGACTGACTCGTTCTAGTAGAAGAAAGTACTCAAACATGCCAAAATCAAACATGCCGAAGCACGCGGAAAGAAGAAACATGCCGGAAGGACCGCCTCTTTGCATGCAAATGACCAATTTCACTTGACTGACTCGTTCTAGTAGAAGAAAGTACTCAAACATGCCAAAATCAAACATGCCGAAGCACGCGGAACGAAGAAACATGCCGGAAGGACCGCATCTTTGCATGCAAAGGACCAAAGTTAAACATGCCAAAATCAAACATGCCGAAGCACGTAGCAGGCCGACAGAAGAAAGCGCTTAAACATGCCAAAATCAAACATGCCGACGCACGCGGAAAGACGAAACATGCCGGAAGGACCGCCTCTTTGCATGCAAATGACCCATTTCACTTGACTGACTCGTTGTAGTTGTGGTTGAGTCGTATGCATGCTAGAGATGTTGTCCGCAAAAACTTCACTGACGCCTTGTGGAATTGTGCAACACGAGATGATGCTAAGAAGAAACATGCCGGAAGGACCGCCTCGAATGCATGCAAATGACAATTTCACTTGACTGACTCGTTGTAGTTGTGGTTGAGTCGTATGCATGCTAGAGATGTTGTCCGCAAAAACTTCACTGACGACTTGTGGAATTGTGCAACAAGAGATGATCCTATGACCGCATCTTTACCTTGACTGACTAGTTGTAGTGGTGTTGTAGTGGTACGCGTGCTAGAGCTGTTGTCTGCAACTTCTAGTTGGGCCATAGCGACCAAAACAGAACGACAAGAACAACATGATGAAAGTCTGCATGCAAGAAACAGAATCTGTCATGTCTGCGCTGCACAGCGTTGCTGAAGCGCAGTTGAGCCCTGCCTCTCGACCACGAGCAAGGACCGCATCTTTGCATGCAAATGACCAATTTCACTTGCCCAGTGCCATCTGCCATCGTGAGTGCCACGTGAAACGAAGGTACGTGTGACGAAGTGTAGATGTGAGTTTGTGCCACGCCTGCCACGTGAAACGAAGGTGGATGTCAGGTTGTGCCACGCCTGCCACGCAAAGTGCCGCGGCGTCACAGGCGCCAAGCCAGTCCAAGCGCGCCACCCAGTGCCATGAGTGCCACGCCTGCCACGTGAAACGAAGGTAGATGTGAGTTTGTGCCACGCCTGCCACGTGAAACGAAGGTGGATGTCAGGTTGTGCCACGCCTGCCACGCAAAGTGCCGCGGCGTCACAGGCGCCCAAGCCAGTCCAAGCGCGCCACCCAGTGCCATGAGTGCCACGCCTGCCACGTGAAACGAAGGTAGATGTGAGTTTGTGCCACGCCTGCCACGTGAAACGAAGGTGGATGTCAGGTTTGTGCCACGCCTGCCACGCAAAGTGCCGCGGCGTCACGGGCGCCCAAGCCAGCCCAAGCGCGCCACCCAGTGCCATCTGTCCCACGCCTGCCACGCAAAACGACGGTGGATGTGAGTTTGTGCCACGCCTGCCACGCAAAGTGCCGCGGCGTCACAGGCGCCAAATCCCGGCCCAAGGGCGCCACCCAGTACCATAAGTGCCACGCCTGCCGCCCAAAACGACGGTAGATGTGATTTTGTTCCACGCCTGCCACGTGAAACTAAGGTGGATGTCAGGTTGTGCCACGCCTGCCACGCAAAGTGCCGCGGCGTCACGGGCGCCCAAGCCAGTCCAAGCGCGCCACCCAGTGCCATGAGTGCCACGCCTGCCACGTGAAACGAAGGTAGATGTGAGTTTGTGCCACGCCTGCCACGTGAAACGAAGGTGGATGGGTGGATGTCAGGTTGGTGGTGGCTGTGAGTTTGTGCCACGCCTGCCACGTGAAACGAAGGTGGATGTAAGGTTGTGCCACGCCTGCCACACAAAGTGCCGCGGCGTCACAGGCGCCCAAGCCAGTCCAAGCGCGCCACCCAGTGCCATGAGTGCCACGCCTGCCACGTGAAACGAAGGTAGATGTGAGTTTGTGCCACGCCTGCCACGTGAAACGAAGGTGGATGTCAGGTGGAGGAGGAGGAGGAGGAGGAGTGTGTATGTGTGTGTGTGTATGTGTGTGTGTGTATGTGATGTGTGTGTGGTGTGTGTGTGTGTGGGTGTGGGTGTGCGTGTGCGTGTGCGTGTGCGTGTGCGTGTGCGTGTGCGTGTGCGTGTGCGTGCGTGTGCGTGTGTGTGCGTGTGTGTGCGTGTGTGTGCGTGTGCGTGTGTGCGTGTGTGCGTGTGTGTGTGTGTGTCTGTGTGTCTGTGTGTCTGTGTGTCTGTGTGTCTGTGTGTCTGTGTGTCTCTGTGTGTCTCTGTGTGTCTCTGTGTGTCTCTGTGTGTCTGTGTGTGTGTCTGTGTGTGTCTCTCTGTCTCTCTCTGTCTCTCTGTCTGTCTGTCTGTCTGTCTGTCTGTCTGTCTGTCTGTGTGTGTGTGTGTGTGGTGTGTGGTGTGTGTGTGTGTTGTGTGTGTTGTGTGTGTTGTGTGTGTGTTGTGTGTGTTGTGTGTGTTGTGTGTGTTGTGTGTGTTGTGTGTGTGTGGAGGAGGAGGAGGAGGAGGCGGAGGCGGAGCCCGGGATACAGAATCAAAAACAAGAACCCCACACAAAGATGTGGGGAAAAAGAGGGGGTTGAACTAACAAACCCCTTTAACAACAGGTGACCTCACTGGATTCATGGTTGGGGAATCCATGGGAATCCCCCCAAAAATGGTCGAAGTTTTCAGCGTAAACCGTTCGTTTGTTTACCCAGAGATCATTAGAATGTTAGGTACTTAGGGTTTCAATCAACGAAAATACTACTCGTATTTGGGAATACAAGATACGAAAAGATTCAAGCAGCTATAGCTTTGAATACCATATATTTTTCGGGGAATACGCATCCAATTGCTAGCTATTTTCATGCCGGTGCTCAGGCGGATGGCTCACCACCGGTACCTCCTTGGCAAAGCTGGGAGTCTTCCCCGAAGTTGTTTCATGCTTTTAATGGGAATAGCGGCTACGAAATCCTCGAACATCTCTGATAAATGTGGATTTTCATAGGATAAATGTAGGTTTTAGTGGACGTATTCTATTGAAATGGGGAATTGTCCATTGCCATGTTTGATTACCGGAGGGTAGAAAAAGTTGAAAGCAGTATTTTTGTTCTAGGATGTTCTTGTTCTTTCGACATGTGTTGATCTGCGCTGGTGAATATAGGGGAAACTCTGGATAGATTGTTGAGATTTGTTGAGTATGTTATCACATACGATATATAGACAAACCACATATTTTTTCTGAGGAATCGGAATAATTATCTAAGATTGGTCAGGTACTTTGCCACTCGATTGTCATGTCAATTAATTTCAGGTCGTTAGTCCCCTATGATATTCGATGAAAAATACCTCTGCTTATTGGTGGGATCAATGGCCATTCCAGGATCCTAAATTGGAGGTACCTATCATATATAAGGCCTATATAAGGCCTATGTAAGGGAATATCCCCAGAACATATGGCCTTATATGGTACAGTACCTCCATTTTAGGATCCTGAAGATCTCCCATTGATGGGATGCCGGGATGCCGGGATGCCCATGGCCATGTTTGTTTGTACACGATATACAGCACTGCTTTCAATAAACTACAGCGCTGGGCCATGGGTACTTGATTTGCGGTCAACCCCTGTTGTGGGCCATAACCCCATCGATGGAAAGGTCAAATTGGTGGTCAATGGAAAGGTCCTGTCATTCTGTTATTCCTCATGTTTATCGGTGAAATTCCATGTTTGACAGACTATCACCATGTGCGTTGCTTATAGTGAACCAACATTCATTGAATCAACTTGATACTATCCGCAATTGGGTTTCCCTACTATCATTGATTATTGAGTCATCATTGTTATTGCCAATGATCACCACTTAGATAATTGGCTGGGTCAAAGTAATTGGTGATACTTGGACTACAGTTATGATCATCAGCAATATTTAAGGATGATTACCCTTTGGTAGACCAACATAGCTATGGAAAATGCTCCATTTATAGAATGTTATGTTATTTTTCTTTATGGAATTTTATCTAGTTGGTGGTTTGGAACATGAATCTTATTTTTCATAGTTTTCCATTCAGTTGGGAATGTCATCATCCCAACTGACGAAAATATATGTTTCAGAGGGGTAGGGCTCAACCACCAACCAGATAGAATTTTATCAATGGCTATTTCAGGAACCTAAATTGGAGGTACCTACCATATATAAGGCCTATATAAGGCCTATGTAAGGGAATATCCCCACAGAATATGGCCTTATATGGTACAGTACCTCCATTTTAGGATCCTGAAATTACCATTGATTTTTTGTTCTTTTCCAGTTCGCAAAGTGTTCGTTTGCCGAGTTCACCCCTTAGGGACTCACCGTGAACAAATCCTCCGGGGTCTCCAAGTGCTTCAGGTGGAACGCTCCAGTATGCCCACATCCCAGCGACAGGCGACCGGTGTGGATACCAGGCGGAAGTTTCTTCGATATTTCATGGATGAACAAAATAGTTGGGATATATATGGAATAAGTTGGGATATGTATATATTTATCCATTATGAAATTGGAATAACTAGTTGGATTTCATTGATGGAATATTTTCTGGTTGGCGGTTTGGAATGTCATCATCCCAACTGACGAACTCATATTTTTCAGAGGGGTAGGTATACCACCAACCAGTTTTGTTTTCTTAAAACAAGGGGGAAGGGATACACCGGGATTCTATCCCCATATAATTGTTGTTCATGACGGATTACAGAACGACTTATGGGGATATTTCATGAGATATAAATATCAATTGCCGTCCAAGCAACTGGATAAGCAGTTTAGTACAAACACATGTACAAACGAATGTGTTGCTGTAAATGGGGGATATATTAGCCAGCTAAAATAGTACTGTAGATATATGTTAGTTAGTACTGTATAGTATATAGGGATATATGAACGACATATGCTTATTTTTGCAAACCATTGAAATGGGGATATGGTGACCAGCAAGCTTTAGAACCATATTGCGTGGATTTATGATTAAGCATCCAATGAACTAATATAGACATAGATATAGACAACCCACCATTTGTAGATAATTTTCCTAACCGGAAACCATGGGTTTTCTATGTCTAGGTCATATCACCTCAGTGTAGACATTCTATATTTTCCTGATGTTTCGGAGACTTGCAAACATTCTCCTTAGATGGTTGTTGAAGGTGATGCTCCCTGGTGATGCTCCCTGGGAGATATTGAACGGGCAATTGCAGGGGATTTCCCGAGCTTTCCCCCTTGCCATAATCAACGCTTGCCTCCATAGTGGCTTAGTGATATAGGCAAGTCAGGTTGCATCATGGATGGGATGGGTACTCTGCCCCACAGCCCATTGGCGGAGGTCCCAAAGACCCTTTCAAACGAGGAGGGCCGATGATTCTGGAACAGAATGTCGGAAATTTCGGAAACAGTCGGTCCCACAATCTGTGCGCCAATGTTTGACATGTCTTAGATTGTGTCACCATAAAAGAGTAAAGACTGAAGTTCTTAAATCAAAGACATACCACAATTGCTAGTATATACTTTGGCAACAGCCTCAACTAGAAAATGGTTAAACACATCATGTCCAAGCCGAATATGGGGGTTTTCTAAAATGGGGGGAGTTTCAAAACCATAGGTTTCAATAGGTTTCAATACTAAGCCATGGTCATCCATGACAACTGGATGATTTGGGGATACTCCTAGCGACGCCCCAGGATCCCTCTCACGCCATGCTCTTGCGGCTTCTAGCTGCAGCCAAGGCCATCCCTGGATACATTTGACCAATCAGCCATTTTTCATATATAGAAATGAGTGTATAACTGGTAAACTAACAATTTGCTATTGAACATGGCCATAGAAATAGTGGATCTTCCCATTAAAAATGGTGATTTTCCATAGTTATGTTAGTTTACCAGAGGGTATACAAGCATTGATGGGAAATAGAAATTCCTTGATCTTTGGCTGATTGATGGGAAATAATATGCATATTCCTCATATTTATCATAGATGATCAATTAATTATTAGAAATTGATGCTTAACCCATTTTAACGTCATATTCATGGCCATTTCACATTGATTATTTCACTTCATGGCCAAGTCAGATCGTCTTCGAGAAACTTATTTTCCATCGACCATTTTCGAAATTTGAACAAATGGGATATATGAAAATTATCCAGTGGTTTTGGAAAATATGGGATATATGATATATGGAACTATTATATGAACTAAACCAATGCAACTTGAATCTTCCAGTGGTTTCACATTATTTGCATGATTTTCCTCCGTACAAATGGGATAGGAACACAATGGACTTTCAAGTTTTCAGGTTCGAAACCACCCAGCACTCATCATTCAGCCTGTGGGGATGACGATCTCCAATTCTTGATCAAAGATCCCTAGGTTCGCTTGGTCACATTGCCATTTACTCTCTTTACCCCCATGTGTATCCAAAATATAAAAAAAAACATCGATGTGGAAAAATCCACCATGTTTTCATGTCACGATCTTCCGGGGTTTCCCATGGCTAAAATCCACACCTGTGGCTCGCGAGGTGCGAACGCCTGGCGGTCCCTGGTTGGTGGCCTTTGAGGACTTCTGCAACGCCGCCAGGATGGAGCCGGCCTTGCGACTCGGACTTCGGAGATCCGAAGGGATGCAGATTGGGGTGATTTCATTGGGGATTGGTCCATTGGTTGGCAGATTTCGTGAGGATTTCCGGGATTTCATTGGGGATTTTGATGAGATGATTGAGATGAAATTTTGTATCAAACTGTAGGATTTTAGGGGGTTTCCTTGGTTTAATATGGTTTAATATGGTTTAATATGGTTTAATATGGTTTCATATGGTTTAATATGGTTTAATATGGTTTAATATGGTTTAATATGGTTTAATATGGTTTCATATGGTTTAATATGGTTTAATATGGTTTAATATGGTTTCATATGGTTTAATATGGTTTCATATGGTTTCATATGGTTTCATATGGTTTCATATGGTTTAATATGGTTTAATATGGTTTAATATGGTTTAATATGGTTTAATATGGTTTAATATGGTTTCATATGGTTTAATATGGTTTAATATGGTTTAATATGGTTTAATATGGTTTAATATGGTTTAATATGGTTTAATATGGTTTAATATGGTTTAATATGGATCAATATGGTTTAATATGGTTTAATATGGTTTAATATGGTTTAATATGGTTTAATATGATTTAATATGGTTTAATATGGTTTAATATGGTTTAATATGGTTTAATATGGTTTAATATGGTTTAATATGGATCAATATGGTTTAATATGGTTTAATATGGTTTAATATGGTTTAATATGGTTTAATATGGTTTAATATGGTTTAATATGGTTTAATATGGTTTAGTATGGTTTAGTATGGTTTAGTATGGTTTAATATGGTTTTATATGGTTTAATATGGTTTAATATGGTTTAATATGGTTTAATATGGTTTAATATGGTTTAATATGGTTTAATATGGTTTAGTATGGTTTAGTATGGTTTAATATGGTTTAATATGGTTTAATATGGTTTAATATGGTTTAATATGGTTTAATATGGTTTAATATGGTTTAGTATGGTTTAATATGGTTTAATATGGTTTAATATGGTTTAATATGGTTTAATATGGTTTAATATGGTTTAATATGGTTTAATATGGTTTCATATGGTTTAATATGGTTTAATATGGTTTAATATGGTTTCATATGGTTTAATATGGTTTAATATGGTTTAATATGGTTTCATATGGTTTAATATGGTTTAATATGGTTTAATATGGTTTAATATGGTTTAATATGGTTTAATATGGTTTCATATGGTTTCATATGGTTTCATATGGTTTAATATGGTTTAATATGGTTTAATAATTGGTGTTTTTTTGTAATATGGTTTAATATGGTTTCATATGGTTTAATATGGTTTCATATGGTTTCATATGGTTTCATATGGTTTCATATGGTTTCATATGGTTTCATATGGTTTCATATGGTTTCATATGGTTTCATATGGTTTAATATGGTTTCATATGGTTTAATATGGTTTCATATGGTTTAATATGGTTTCATATGGTTTCATATGGTTTAATATGGTTTCATATGGCTTCATATGGTTTAATATGGTTTAATATGGTTTAATATGGTTTAATATGGTTTAATATGGTTTAATATGGTTTAATATGGTTTAATATGGTTTCATATGGTTTAATATGGTTTAATATGGTTTCATATGGTTTAATATGGTTTCATATGGTTTAATATGGTTTAATATGGTTTAATATGGTTTAATATGGTTTCATATGGTTTCATATGGTTTAATATGGTTTAATATGGTTTAATATGGTTTAATATGGTTTAATATCTGGTTTAATATGGTTTTCATAGGGTTTTCATATGGTTTGCATAGGTTTTTTAATATGGTTTCATATGGTTTCATATGGTTTCATATGGTTTCATATGGTTTCATATGGTTTCATATGGTTTCATATGGTTTCATATGGTTTCATATGGTTTCATATGGTTTAATATGGTTTCATATGGTTTAATATGGTTTAATATGGTTTCATATGGTTTAATATGGTTTAATATGGTTTAATATGGTTTAATATGGTTTAATATGGTTTAATATGGTTTCATATGGTTTCATATGGTTTAATATGGTTTAATATGGTTTAATATGGTTTAATATGGTTTCATATGGTTTCATATGGTTTCATATGGTTTCATATGGTTTCATATGGTTTCATATGGTTTCATATGGTTTAATATGGTTTCATATGGTTTCATATGGTTTCATATGGTTTCATATGGTTTCATATGGTTTCATATGGTTTCATATGGTTTCATATGGTTTCATATGGTTTCATATGGTTTCATATGGTTTCATATGGTTTAATATGGTTTCATATGGTTTCATATGGTTTCATATGGTTTAATATGGTTTCATATGGTTTCATATGGTTTCATATGGTTTCATATGGTTTCATATGGTTTAATATGGTTTCATATGGTTTCATATGGTTTCATATGGTTTCATATGGTTTCATATGGTTTCATATGGTTTTCATATGGGTTCATATGGTTTTCATATGGGTTTCATATGGGTTTTAATATTGTTCATATGTTGAATATGGTGTAATATGAGTTTTAATATGGTTTCATATGGTTTAATATGGTTTAATATGGTTTTTAATATGGTTCATATGGGATTTAATAGGTTTTTCATATGGTTTAATATGGTGTTTAATATGGTTTAATATGGTTATTGGTTGCATATGGTTTTTCTAGGGTTTAATAGGTTCATATGGTTTTCTATGGTTTCATATGGTTTAATTAGGTGGTTCATATGGTTTAATATGGTTATATGGTTTCAATGGTTTTCATATGGTTTTTTTTTAATATGGTTTCATATGGTTTAATATGGTTTAATATGGTTTAATATGGTTTCATATGGTTTCATATGGTTTCATATGGTTTCATATGGTTTCATATGGTTTAATATGGTTTCATATGGTTTCATATGGTTTCATATGGTTTCATATGGTTTCATATGGTTTCATATGGTTTAATATGGTTTAATATGGTTTAATATGGTTTAATATGGTTTAATATGGTTTAATATGGTTTCATATGGTTTAATATGGTTTCATATGGTT